GTAGCCAAGGCCAAACTGGTCTACCTTGGGTCTTGTCAGGCAGAGGGTGTCAACATCATCAGGAGCAAATGTAACATCTTGCATATGTGTTTCATCTCCTTCACTGCCACTGTCAGAATCTAAAAAAAATATTTGAAAGTAAGAAAGAGGATTAAAACAAAATTACTTGTATTATTGTACATAATGCATAATATATGCTCGCAATTAATATTATTGTACCTATTCATGATGAATTTAAACAATCTCTGATTATTAATTGAATACCTTCTATTGAGCCCCGAGGTCCCTGGCAGCCATGCATTCTCTCTTTTTCCTTGCGTGATGACCGTTTTTGGTGTCGGCTTATGCGAGGTCCAACCCCTTGCCCTGGTCGCCAACCAAGATGACGCAGAAGTTTCATTCCCATTGTCTCTCTAAAATAAACACCCAAAACATGAAACAAAATACTGTAGATAAATTTTATATATAAATATTTAAAGTACTGTATAGTGTATATGCAGTATTCCTGATTAAATAAGAAAGTACAGTATAGTAGAATATGGTATAATAATTTAAACAATATTGGGTCCAACTCGATACAGAGAAGAATACAGGAACACCCTGGTTCAGGTCTTCAAGTCTTACATTTCATACATCGTCCTCAGATGTAATTCAACTCTGCAACTCTCTTGGCCTTTTACATTTTACGTCAAAATTTTCTACACAGATGAACAAGAGTATTTCTGTATTCCCTGCATTGTGTGATGGCAAGGAATAATATATTCTGCTGGTTGTGGGTCATCAGATAACAAAGGGTCAAACTTCAGCTATATTTTGTTGGAACAGAATTATATTGTCAAAAGAACATTACAGCATCTATTTTGTGACATTCAGTTGAAAATTCTCGGAGAAATTGATCTCTCAATCTTTTCATCATATTCAACTCGATATTGTAGACAGACAGACCAAGTGCTATATCCCCGCTTCTAGGCAAGTAGAACAGAAATTTAAATACAGTACTGTACAGTACTTGCCTGCTCGGCCTCAGAATATCTTCAAGGACTGGTGTTCCTGGAATAGGTCCACTTGGATCTAAAACTCTTTTTCTTTTCATCTGTTCACTGTCATCAAAGTTTGCTGAAGTTTGGATTCCCTGGGGTGATATTCCATGTGCTGCCATATCCTATAATGAAAATTTACATTATGAATATTTCAGTCAATTTAAATAACTGTAGAGAGGATGTTTTATTCATAATTTGTGAGTTTGTCAGAATACATTTTCAGTTAAGATGAACAGTTTGGATCACATTTGGTTAATACAGTATAGATAACAAAGACCCTTCCCTGGGAGACACTGTACAGTACAAATAATATCTTGGTACTGTACTGTGCTTTAGAGACTCACTACATGTTACACCTTTAATCAATATAGTTGTGTTACCTAATGGACTTTTATGACATGTTATGAATGTAGATGGTGATGACAGCTTTATGTAACACAAGAAATAGAAATACTGTACTGTAGATGTACCTGTATCTTCTAGCTGTAATGTCTGACAAAATGAATTTTCTTTGCCTTAATAGCTTACTGCAAGTCTTCCTTATTCTTTTTTTCATATCCCTCAGGTGAAAATACATATGAAAAGCAAATTCCAAATAAAACCTATACAGTACAGTATTCAACCTTTAACTGTCTTTACGTATGAGAACATTTTAATAATGTTTCTTAAGTTCCTAAGAACTCTGTCAGTTTTATAGGTGTTGTCTATTTACAGTTAGCATGGACTATGACAAGAGCAGACAAGTGTTGGAGACAAATGAAAATACAACTCATCCCTGGTTAACTTTACCTCCTCATCCCTGGTTAACTCTACCTCCTCATCCCTGGTTAACTTTACCTCCTCATCCCTGGTTAACTTTACCTCCTCATCCCTGGTTAACTTTACCTCCTCATCCCTGGTTAACTCTACCTCCTCATCCCTGGTTAACCTTACCTCCTCATCCCTGGTTAACTTTACCTCCTCATCCCTGGTTAACTTTACCTCCTCATCCCTGGTTAACCTTACCTCCTCATCCCTGGTTAACCTTATCTCCTCATCCCTGGTTAACTTTACCTCCTCATCCCTGGTTAACCTTACCTCCTCATCCATGAAATCGTGAGGCTTGGATTGCACATTTGTGGCCCGCTGGCCCTTAGAGGACACAAATGTTGAGGGTGTCCATCCCTCTTTTGTCCCCACAGAGTTGAAGTATCCAGCCGAGAACCCACCAGTAAAGGCTCCATGGAACCTAAGAGAAAAAAATCATAAACAGTTGCAACACTACAATCCATATTCATTATGTACATAATGTACTGGATTTAGAATACATTTTATTGTTAAAATTACAGTAGAGTACCTATAGTTTCTCAAGTATTTATCTACATACCAAAGCTGATTTTTAGTCCAATGAGGAATATATACTACATCTTACCTTCTCCGACCTTGTTTGTCTCGAACAAACTGATCCTCAATCCGTGGAGCTTTGCGAGCCCGTACTTCATCTGCGAGAGAGAAATTAAGAATGGCTAAAGTATATATTGATTTCATTGTTTGTTTCCTGTTCTTCAAAAAGGCACATCCATTGTATGTAGTGTTGTTCAATACTGTATTACATGATTTTAACTTGTGGAGTAGTCTTATGTACATAATGTTATCAAAGGCCTGCATTAGGTCAAAGTATGCAACATCCATTCCATATCCATCATCCAATATTTCAGTCCAATTATCCAACATTTTAAGGCACTGCAAGACTGTAGATTGGCCAGATATGAACCCATACTGTAACTTGAATTCAATTTATTCGTAGTGACAGCCATATGCCAAAAATCACACGGGATATAGGTGCGGCAGCCATATTGAAGGACTGTGTTGTTAATGGTTAAGTTAGATTAGGTCAGTTAGAGAGGTCATCTTAATAACTATCAGTGTATAGTCTTCCGAATATACATCGACGTTTTGCATACAGGTGCCGTACCTATTTCCAGTGGCTAATCTAGTTTTATTTAGCTGGATCATAATATCTTCCCTTATTAGAGATTTAATTATTTTGCACATGACAGATCAAACCTATTGCTCTGTAATTTCCAGAATCAGCCATTCCCCCCTCTCCCCCTTTTTTAAAACTTTGTTGTTATTTGAGTATTATTTGAGTTTCGGTCATCCTGGGAATCTTGGGAATTTAGGTTAGGTTAGGTAGGCTTGGATATCTAAATACAAGGATGATCCAAAATCTAATTTTACCGTTATTTGTGCAGTTTTACATTCTGGGGCAACTCCTTCCCCCAAAGAGTACTAAAAAATATTTCCAGCGGTTTGGCTACCACTGGTGCACACTTTTTAATAAGACAATTATGATCAATGGAGAGATCCTGTATTGGCTGCTGGCATTCTTCCTTTGGCGTGGCCACGTCTAGCTTAGGTAGCCATTAGGTAAATAATGGAAAGCATACTGTCAGGGGATTTAATTCTGTATGACCGAAGCACAGTGTGGAGTATTGGGACCACACAATACGATATGAACTTTGCAAACTTAACCAAACGAACTTAATTTTTCCTTCGTTGGTTAATGTCAGATGCAGTTTAGTCTCACAACTGAGTGGGGAAGAAAGTTAGTGATACTTCAGCCTCTTCTATGTAAGTTGCTGCCATTTTCTTATATTGTTATACCTACCTTCATCAAGCTCCTCTAGTGGTGTACCATAATAGGCACTGTCCTCCTCGTCACTGTCACTCATGTCTTAACGCCTCGGTGCTGCTGCTGTGTTGTCGTCTTGTTTACGTTTATGAAGACAAACACCTTTCAAAACTTTAAAGTACATTTATATGTCGTTATTTGTTAAAAAATCTTTGCTTTAGCACATGATTTCAATAATAAATGTCAATATTTTAACAATTATTATTATAATAGAGTTTACATATATTTTAAAGGATGCATTACCATCAAATGGGATTCTAAATTATAACCAATTAATTAAAAAAATACGGATTAAAGAAGAAATCAACAAATGTCTTTATATAATTAGAAAATTAATAGATATATATCTGAATGGCTATATATTTATTACTGGTTGCTATGGAAGGCTTTCTGTTTAGTGCATATGTTACCAACAATATTGAACATAGTTATATATTCCTTAATATTTATGAATAACTTAGTATTTATATATATTTATTTATAAATTTAAAATAGTTTCTACAAATTAAGTGCAGAGAAAAGTGGATAAAATATAAATAAACTATTATCGGCAGCATTTGGGCAGAGTCTTGGTGATGTATTATGATGTTGTTAGGGACACAGTCTGAGGCTCCCAGGCAAGATGTTCAAGAAACGTAAAACCTCTAATATTAGGCAACGACGATTAAGTGAAGATGATGGTGGGGGAGAAAGTGATGCTATGGCTGTCGCTAGTACTGATGATAGTAATTCCAACTTCGCCACTACCATCAAAAAAGAGAAAAAGAAGGCAAAAGAGAAGGTTGAGCCAAAGAAGCAATCTATCTTAAGTTTTGAAGACGAGCTTGAAGGTTAGTGGATTTAGAAACTATAAATTGGTAATATGTTCCAAAGTTCGTGTTGGAGTAAAAATGTAAAAAAAAAACCCTCTATTATATCATTTGAAATGGTTAAAATCTAGATTAGTTGTTCACTGTTATTTATAAGTTAACGCCATGAAATATGTATCATAAATGTTCCTCAGACTTATTAAATCCATTTCAAGGTTAATTTATGCCAGACCAGGAGTTCTATTACTAAAATATATTTTTTTGTTTTTCATTGTGATTTGATCGAATATGACCTATAATTTTGGGGCTAATGATAAGTGACGTCATTTTAGGATAGTAGCCAGGCTTTAGTTAGGGTAGGTTAGGTTGGGGCAGTTAGCACCAGAAACGTAGGACAGATTCGTTCAAATCACAACAAGAGCCATAGGAAAACCATATTTTGCATGGAAAATTTTAAACCTGGCCGCGATCATAAATTAACCTAAACGACTGCTTTAACGCTAGGACTAACAATGAATCCTTTCAAAGTGGGCAGGACTTTGAAGATGAGGGAAAATATAGTGATAAAACACATAAGAAATAGAACCTCTTAGAACATTTTGAGGTAGTAAGCAGCTACCAAACAGGGAGGTACCCACCTGCGAAGATATTGGAAGCATAATGTGTTGTCTAATGGTAGACCCTGCTGATATATGGCATCACAAAAATTGTGACCAATTCCCAGGTTGCTGATCTGACTTTCTGCCACATTTACACACAATTGTAGGGTTTTAATTGCTTCTCTTACTTTGACAACACAACATACTGTACATACAGTACTGTATATAATTTCTCATTGATTTTTTTTTAATTTTTGTATTTCTTTATACTGTAGTTCTTTATTATTATTATTACAATATTATTATTATCATTATTATTTACTTTTTATTATAAATTTTATTTACTATGAATTATTATTATTTAATTTTTTATTTTTTATTTTTATTATACATTCAATTTACTACTGTACAATATACTATTTTTTTTTTTTTATATACATATATAAAACTACTACTACAACTATTATGTGGCCTCCAGCCTCCCTCAATAGTTATACCTTCCCCACCATTTTATTACCTTAATATTAAATATCATAATACATAAGTAGCTATCCTAGCTGTGTTGAGTTAGTTGAGCCGCAGATCTATGCGGCATTCAGTGACTGTAGCTTCGTAGTCAATATCTGCAACTGTTGTCGGGTTTGGGGCCCATGCTCTCGTTCCCCTGAGGCAGAGCAAAGCTGACTGAAGGAGAGAGAAGGACAGTGGACATCTCATCCAGGCTGTAACATAACTTCTGGGTTGCTGCTTCTGTTTGGATATCACCTCCGCGAGTCTGGTGTAGAAGCATCTTGCACTTGGTCCCATCCCACCAGAAGTTGTGAACACTAGAGGAGTGAAGCTGCCTTGATCAACGTTCTGAATTCTCTCCCCTATGCCCTTATCTTGTCGTTCTCGTTCCTCCTGTGTGCAGCATTGAGAGCTAAGTTATGGTGACATGCGGCCATGGGATAAAAAATCCTGATGTCGAAGAAGGCTCGCTGTCCCAGCGTCCAGAATCCTCGAGCACTGACGTCAACACGGGCTTCGTTGGATGTGTTCGAAGTCCTATGTTGGAAAATCTCACCATCTAATGGAAGGAGGGTCGGTTCTACCCTGCCATCACAGCAGATTTCCTTCAACATATTTGCTGTGAGATCCCTTACTTCGTCATGTCTCATGCATATGAAGCCCCCTTTCTTGCACACCATGGCGTGATCGACATCATAGGAAGAGCCACACACGCATTGGGAGGGCAAACCTTCTATTGGCCTACCGTACCTTAGAACATTGGCATCTGTAAATTCTTGTTTATTGAGATTGAAACCATTTGCCCTTATTGGTAACGAAGTTAACCAGTTCGAGGCGCCCACCTGCGCTATAGCTACTTTTTTTTTCAAATTCTCTGGTAATTGCAGCAACAGTTGCTGCAACTTATCACTTTGGCCGTGCTGTCATTCTGTCGTAATGGACCTTCTAATCTTGGTTACTTCACTGGTATCCACCTCCCCTGTTGCATTTTGAGCTATTATGTGGTCCGTGAGGGCTGCCGTGAGCTTAACTGAGTTTTGATGTTTGGTGGCAGCAATCTCCTCTGGATTGGTCAAGCCTATTCCTCCCAGTCTCGGTGGTAGTGCAAGGAGTGATCTTTCTGCTGGGGTTAAGTGAGGGCATTTTCGCTCCCCAGGTCCCAATGTGGGTCAGTGACCTGTGCCCAGGTGGGCTAATCTCCGTTTAAAAAAAAAATAGCCATTAAGAACCTATGTTATAACTTATTTGGTAATTTCTGGGTTGTTCAGTTTTGTTCATATCATTATAGTATAAGTATTTTAAAAGATGCATTAACTTTTTATTTAATTATAAGTAAAAAGAATTATCTATCTATAATCATAAATCATCTGTAGTGGACAGGGCTTGAAGGATGAGGGAAGTTGCAGGGTAAAACACTGTGAAAAATTGGTCATATGACACTAAAATGGTGTCTCTACATACAGTACTTTGTATGTGAAGAAATTAAATTTAGCGTAAATACTCCCAATAATCTGCCGAGGCAGCACGTGTTGTTATCTGGTCTGTTGTTTACAACCGACCCGCTCAATCCGAGCGTACTCTCACGTCCACAAAAAACGTAAAATTACACTATGACACTTCAACAAAGTTGCTTTCATTGGTACCAGATATCAAAATAAGTACTTTCTGTTTAATATGGCGGGGATCTGGGTTAGGTAAGGATGGGTGGGTTGTTTTAGTTGGTTAGGTCAGGTTGTATTAGTTTCTAGTAAATGTTGCCTCTTAAAATACTTACTATAATGATAAGAAATTCCACCTACCATTGTATGATCTGTTTCTCATATGTAACTGATGAAGTTCATTCTTTTTCAGCTGATGATGGCATCATCTTCCAGGAAAAGAAGTCTAGTTTAAGCTACAAGCTACGGAAAGAAATGAAAAAGGAGAGAAAGGAAAAGCGAAGAGAAGAAAAGGAGAAACAGAGACAAGCAGAAGGGAAAGATAAATTTCGAGATAAAGACAAGAATGGAGGACCAACTGTGTCGGAATTGGTAGGGTGACTGTTGCAGTGTGACCATTCCAAGACATAACTAAATGCCACCATATTTACTTGGTTGACATCCTCAGTTACACTTTGAAGTATCACAGAATAATTATTTGCCTATGCTGACCTGTATCCCTGTTCCTCTGCCTCTCATCTCTCCTATTATCCTTTTATCTTTAAATTTTCATTTTCTTATGCCTCTACATTTATTCAACTAAGTCAGGGTGGTTCATTCATTTGTCCACAGGCTATTTCTGTGGTGATGAACGCAAGCAGAAAATTTTCTCACTGAAATCTCATCAAATAAAGAATCCCGTCAAAAAGTGTGAATTTCATGAAGGCTTTCTTTACTGTACAGTATAAGCAACACTGTGATGGGTGTTGCTACAGCATTTACAGCAGTGACTGTTCAGAGTTGAAATATATACTGTAACAGTTCATACTCGGGGAGCTCACACACTTCAGTGAAATCTATGAGCAGTATGAAAATATACAGTTGTGTGCTGTCAGGAGGTTGGACCACCATGGTCTAAGTGCTTTAACATTTGATTGTTGTATTAATACTAATGAATTTGATAGTGATTAGAGAAGTCCATCAATCGTACAGTACAGGTCGATCCTCCTTGGTCCGGCTCCACCTGTGGCCCAGCAAAATTTTTTCGTGTCATGTTTTTTTTTTTTTTTTTACTCTTTCTCTATGTGTATTTCCTAATGCACATAGCTTAAAATTGTGTAACAAAACTAATACACTGATACGATGGCTTATTCACGGTTTTGCCTATTTGCGCAATTCCTTGGAACCTAACCCCAGCGAATAACAAAGGTTTACTGCACAGTACTGTAAATGAGTAATATTTTTGAGGGGTTAAATTTTATGCATTACCGTGGATTAGTTACAGTAAACAATAGCCATCCGTACAGCCCTTTTATCCTGGGCTCCTCTACTGTACCCCTAGATTCTCTCTTTACATTCCTACATGAAGAGCAGAATTTCATTCACTATACAGTATATGTCACTTGAAGTCTACAAATACTTGATGCAAATGAAAATGTACGGATTATTGTCTTTTTGTTTCCATCTGTTAACATCGCTGGTGGCATTGTTGGCATGTTAGATTAGTCAGTGTAGCCACATCCCTTTTAGACCTCTTGCTCCCAGGCCGAGCTGTGAGCTGTTATGGTTATTTTACAACTCGTAATTTTGGGTAGATATAAATAACTTTTTTTTTTACTCCTTGTTATATGTACAGTAATACAGTATGTGCAAAAAAAAAGTAAAAAAACACAAAAGAAGTAAACATATCTTTGTGTACGAATGAACACGCTGAGTGGGGAAAGGGGGAGCAGTGTGAGGGAGCCCTGTTGCTATGGAGTAGGCAGAGGCAGCGTCCCAACTGGGCTACATTGCTATGACGAGCAGCTAACGTTACTGAGGTTTTGTGTACATGAACTTGTATAAATTTTTATACAATAATTTAATGGCCACCCATGGTTCAGAAAATTCTATGGTCTGGCTCTAGTCAGGTCCCGAGGGTGCCAGATTGGTGAGGTTCAATCTGTGTTTTGAAGTAGTAGAGGCTTTGGTTATATACACAAATATTGCAGATGTAAAGAATAATGGTATTATCACATTTAGACAATGAGTAGATGTGCTAATTGGAGTTTTGCTATTAATGCACATGGCATTGATGATAGATGTTTTGGGGGTCATGTCTATATAATATGCCATGTCAAAGTGTTTATATGAGGTACCTTTTTATGTGCTTATGTCATGATTACATAGCTGTTAGTGTAGTTTTTGGAAGTGTGTAAGGTTTTCCATCCTGATTAGGATGTTGACACTTGCAGTTGGAACTCCTCAGTGTCTAGCAAGTTTTTATAGTGTGAGCCATCCAGGACATTCATAAAGTTAAAAATGATTGATTAATCCTGAAATCCTATCATAAAGTGAACTGGGTTTGGTGGCTGGATGTCCTTCTTCCTCCCAGGGTAGTTGGTAGGCAGCTGGAACTGAGGGTGGTTTTTACACACCTGCTGGCTGGACAGATGACACTCCTGCCTTTAAATGGCAACTCTTGCTTCCTGGTTACTGTAAGGAGATATAACTAATCATTTGTTTAATCCCACCCACCAGTCAGAGGTTAGTCTGGATACACCCCTGTAGACGAAGCTGGCAACTGATGTATAACATAAGCCACTTAGTCTGGTCTCAGAAAATGGGATTTCAAGATCAATGTCATTTTTAAACTGTATTGCAGCAGTTAGTTATGTTTATTCTGGTAATGTCACATCTCCTGGACCATACAGCTGGCAATTTATTTATTTTTTTTTTGGGGGGGGGGTTGTACTTTTCATTTGAATTCTGAAGAAAAACAATATTATTTACATGATTCTATTTGTGTGAACGTGTTAATAATAGTTTTGAAGTTGATGGATGTAACTTAGAAAAGCAGATGCAAGTATCCTCTGGAGTTATCCTTAAAGTATATTTTGGTTCATAGTCATCTTAAGGCACACCAAATTCTCCCACTAATGAAGTAAGGTAATTTCAGGATGAGCTTGGTATAAGAATAGTAAATGGTCGAGAAGCAGAGAGTATTGGTGCCAAGCCTGGAGATTCTGACGATGAATCTGGTACACCTGGGAAGCACAAATTCAAATCCAAAAATATGAGGACGGCACAATCCTTGGACCCATGGAAAAAGATGCTTCAAAGTAAGTTGCTGTATTTTGTTGAATTTAGAAATATATACAGTAATGATAGTGGAGTCATTTAGGCAAGAGAAATTTCTGTGCACAGTACAGTATGTGAGCATTAACTTTACAGTGTATTTACATTTAGAGTTTGTTTTAGGAATTTATATAGTCGTGTTTCCATACTGTATTTTGAAGAATACTGTATAAGCCACCTCTATTTCTAAGCTGCAGGGTGAGTATTGGACAGAATTCATGCAAAAAATTGACCTTAAATTATAAACCGGGTTTGAGGGATTCCGGGTAACCGAGATATTACTACAGTATATTTGCTAGCATAAAATTTTAAAATGCAGTACAGTCGGCCCTTAACATACGTGGGGGTTACGTAACAGAGATACCCGTGGATGTTAAAAATCTGCGTATTTTTGCTGCCCCTCTCCCCCCCCCATGTCCTTATTTACTGTATATACCTGTGTGTAGTTCGAGTTTTTAAGACCAAATTATTTGGCAAAAAATTGGGGGTCGACCTCTAAACGGGTAATAGTTTCGTTAGGTTGAAAAATATTTACCAGTAACTACCAGTAAACAATGGAAACGATGCACCAACGCACCACCAGCTGTGAGTGTCAGTACAGTTGCCAGGGCAGATCTCTTGCGTCATCATAGCAAGCCCAAAGTAGCCAAATCCATGGTATGGTAGCACAGGACGATGTAAAACATGAAGTATTCATTTATTAAAGTTTATTTATAGATACTGGACATAAATTTTTGTTCATTACATTTGAAACATCAATCTTTGTTAATTAAATTTGAAACAAAAGAAAACTATGATACCGTATTTTCATTAAAATATTACATCACAAGTATATTTTACCTTAACTGTGACTGAATGAATATACGTATTCTCAGAAATAAATATGGAAATATAATATTTTTGCTGGAATGACGTACATATTACAGTGGAAAGTGGGATAAAATCATGATGAAAACAATGACTTTTGCTTTCTTTCGTTATTCAAAAGATTTTACCGTAATCGCTTTTCGAATGGTTTTCAGTTAAAAAACTGTTGTACTCGTACTGTATTACAATAATATTCTATCCTATTATTAGCCTTATAATCCCACAACTGAAAACCATTCGAAAAGCGATTACGGTAACATCTTTTGAACGAAAGAAAGAGAAAGTCATTGCTTTCGTCACAATTTTATCCCACTTTCCACTGTAATACGTACATCATTTCAGCAAAAATATTACATTTCCATGTTCTCAGAAATAAATGGTAGTTTCGTTGAAAGGTAATGTACAGTATTTAATATTAAAATGCAAAAATAGCTATAAAAACAATTAATATTGTACACCCGTAATGTACTGGCTGGCATCTCCACTCGTCCCTGCTCCTGTGTCCAAGGTCACCACTCCTCCCAACTCGCTCCCTCCGCTCCCTCCTCCGCCTCCTCCACCTCCTCACCGTCACTACTGCCGACAACAAACACAAATGTTTTGTGAATAACTGCACCTCCACTTCCTATGTACAGTACTGAACTGTACTGTGCTGTGCATTTTTACAAACAATAAACATGGCAAGAAAAGCTATTAAAAAAAGAGATAAAAATTTCACTTTACTGTACAGTACCTATCCTCGGCGACAGGACAGGGGTCATCGGGCTCATCGTCACTCAATTCCATAACGGGTGGTGAAGTGGGGGCGACGGTGGATTCAGCTGCTTCCTCACTGCCGCCAGTGATTGATGGTGTTAAATCTCTCCTTCGGTGATCAAAGAACATGGTGATGGGGAGTTGTCGTCTCTTTCTTTTCATTTCTTCCATGATGTTTTTGTATGGAGCAAAAACGTCATCCATCCCTCGCATGAATTTCAGGGCACGCACCATGGAGGGGTCGATACTATAGGCCAGGTTTTTCAGTGCCTCAATATTCCTGGTCATCTCCCCCAACTTCTCCAACGTTATTTCTTGGTGCTCTTCCTCTTCCTTGCCTGAGTCTACTAACTCCTGTAGATCCTCCTCGGTCAGCTCAGTGTCGTGCTCTTCAATTAGCTCCCTAATCTCGTCCTCTGCCATGTCCTGGAAGCCTTCAGCAGCCACTTTCCTTGACAGTGCCAGGGTCTTTCTGAATATTTTCATTAAAATCCATCAAAATCATTTTCCTTGTCATCGTCTTAAGCACCAAACAGCTCCTCCCAGTCTTCTTCTTGAACAGGGCTAGAGGGTACGTGTTTTTCGAATCGTTTTCAATTAAAAAAATGTTACAGCACATGTATATTTTACCTAAACTGTGCCTGAATGAATATATTCTCAGAAATAAATAGTAGTTTTGCTGAAACGTGATGTATTTCAATGTAAAATAGGATAAAATACATGACGAAAACAAAAGACTTTACCTAACCTTCCAATGTTCAAGAGATGTTACTCGTTTTTTTTTAATAGTTTTCGGTTAAAAATACTGTTATATTACAATGATATTCTATTCATACTGTGCTTGATATACTACATTCACGGAAATGTAATATTTTTGCTGAAATGACGTACGTATTACAGTGGAAAGTGGGATAAAATCGTGACGAAAACAATGACTTTCGCTTTCTTTCGTTCAAAAGATTATTACCGTAATCGCTTTTCGAATGGTTTTTAGTTAAAAAAACTGTTGCATCACAAGTGAATTAGGATAGAATATTATTGTAATACAACAGTTTTTTAACTGAAAACCCAAAAGAAAGTGAGTCATTGCTTTCGTCACTTTTCACTGTAATACGTACGTCATTTCAGCAAAATATTACATTTCCATATTCTCAGAAATAAATAGTAGTTTTGCTGAAACGTAATGCATTTCAATGTAAATTAGGATAAACTACATGAAAACAAAAGACTTTACCTCACCTTCCGATGTTCAATATATGTTACTCGTTTTTTTTAGTAGTTTTCGGTTAAATTACTGTTATATTAGTGATATTCTATTCATACTGTGCTTGATATAATACATTCACGGAAATGTAATATTTTTGCAACTACAATGCTAATGTCAACACAAGCGTGGTTACAGCGAGACTGACTGAGTGAGGAGAGCTATGCGTGTGTGTGTGAGGTTGCGGGAGCGGGCGGTGTCCCGTGTTCGGTGCCGCATGCGAGTTGAGTGGCGCGCGATTTGAATGTACTTCAATTACTTCAATGTACAGAATATTCCTCCGGCGGGGCAATCCGCATATTTGTAAATCCATGTATGCTAAACCCGCGTATGTTAAGGGCCGACTGTACTGTATACGTCGACAAAAAAATTATTGACATAGTTATTGGTTGCTTTCATAACATCTCTAAATAGGGTAAGTTGTTGCATAGTTCTGTCAAAGAGTAAAACTGGATTCAAAGGACTCCATGGGATTCTAAACAATTTTGGTACAACATTATCTATTACATCTGAAGAATGTGAATGTTACATATTATGTAATACAGTACAGTATTCATATTCCTTTGATGTAATAGATAATTTTATATTTTTTCACCCAAAATAAAAAAGATGATTTAGAAGATACAGTATTGTTAAATTACTGTATCATACAATTGAAAACCGTAAATATACTTTGTTTCCTTCATATTAGCTTGGTTCTCATCGATAAGCAAAATATGCCTTTACAGGTAATTTCAGGTGGGGGATTAAATATACTGCTCATCTGTCTTCATTTTTATTTGTTCTACCTGTGTAAGTAAGCAAAAAAAGTGAGTTTTTATTACTGGCCAAAGTAAGGAACTTGAGAAGGGGGACATAACATGCTAGATTTTTCATAGAAATTGTGATTGCAGAACTCATATGCTTCACTAACAGATTCATCACAGTGAAAAAAAGGACTTGCATGATGTAAATAAACAACAATTAATTTTTAACTTGTTTGGGAAGGTATATACTGTATATATACCGGTATTAATTTGTCTTTTCATTTAGGGTTATCAAAAAGGCTGTCATCTAAGTAGTCTTTTTGCCTTCTGAGGAGTACTAGTTGATCCCTTTTACTGTGTCTGTGTATTTCAAGATTTATACATGAATTTATTTGGTTTCTGGATTATCTTAGGTGGTCAGATTCCTGATGCCAATATGATACATGCTATCCGGAAACAAAGACAACAGGCCAGAGAGCAAGGAGACGTGATTCCGTTGGATGAAACCGTCAGGTAAGACTGGACATCTTGAGATGGCTCTTTTGAATAGGTACAGTACTGTATATGTATTTGAAAATTTCTATGACTTAAAAAGCCTTCATGTATACTGTAATTTGTATTAGATATAAAAGGGACGTCTCCTCAGTTACTGTTTAGTGATATATAATTAATTTTTGTGTTTAAATCTTACACATTTTACGTGCAGAGTTGAGGAAACAAAAGGTCGTCTTGTACGTGACGATGATAATGACCGCAGTGATGATGAAGATGGTGAGTCTCGAATGGATTTCTCTGTTAACCAGCAGGCACGAGACCGGCAACAGCGGCAAGAGGCATTTGATGCAGCTCAAGGTATAGCATCACCTGAGTTCTTTTGCCAGTGCTCTTTAAATGGTGTATATTTAGTAAGTCAGTTTTCCTCTGTAGCTTTATGGTTTCAGTTAACTCTGGTTTCCATATTTTTGCAGAAACAGTTGTGTTTCTTATTTTGTGCTCTATTTTAATAATGTTACCAAGGAAATATATGAGACATCATTTGTAATCAAAATTGTTTTACAGTTTTCTGAAATTATATTCTTAAATTTGGACAAAGAATAGTGTGACCTAACTGGCCAGATCAAACAAATAATTTCTGAGAAGAAGAGAAAAAGTAAGAAACAGGAAAATTAGGGATTCTTGTATTTAGAATGGTCCACGGATCATTGGCCAAGAACTAGAGTCTAAATGTTGGGGTAAGATTGTAATAATTACTGGAAGACTGAAGGCTAAGCAGAAAGACTTGCTATGTAGCACAATTTTCTTCAAAATATTTTTCAGTTTGCATGGTATAGTGTGGGCTGTTTCTCTTCACCAAGACAGGAAGCTAATTCCCTTGTAATAGATATAATAATTACACCCAGATGCACATAGACAAGTTTATAATACTGTACGTGGTTTAATATTTGTATGAAAAATTGAAAATTAGGGCTGTGTTGTGGAAAGTGACCACCATAGCAAAATAATTCTAACAGATAGAGAATGAATGACAGCATATGTTTGTGTTGCTCTTGATTCTGGCTACTCTGCACTTTAGCTGGAAAAGGTTTTGCAATGGGTGAGAATTTATGCTACTCAATCTTCCATTTGGACCTAAACAAAGCTTGTCTGATGAGGCTTTCACATGCTCTTGAGGGATGCCTGTACCCTGTATTGTACTTGGGGCTAACACCAATCCTTCCTGCCCCCTTCTGGTTGCCTTTTAAGACCCAAATCCCTAAGCCACTGGAAGTTTTTTCTCACATATACTCATCTTTGACTCATTCATAAAAAGTATAGACAATTTGGCATACCCCTGCTGTTGTAGTCTTTATTGTTGCTATAAATGTTTTATGTCCAGATGGGCTTGCAGGCAAAATTGATGTTGTGTAACAACATTTGTAATTTTGAGTCCTGATGCTCATCAAATTAGGAATGAAATGTGTTAATTAAGCATGTGGTTCTGGGATTTAGATATGTACCTTATTGTTATGTTTGATTCTTCAAGAGGGCGGTAGTGATAACAGCGATCATGAACGGGAATGGGAGAAACAGCAGTTAATGAAGGCTGGAGCAAATGCAAAGGTATGTGTACAATGATGAGTACGGTAGTTTGTGATTTGTAAACTTTAATCATGTTATTTGTCTTGTAAATTTTGCCTGTGCTAAACTGCTCAGAACTTTAAGGAAAAGAATAATTTTAACTGCATAACCCCCAGTCTCCAGAATTGTCATTGTATTTGATAAGCCCCAAACATTGGTCCCTCCTGAATGGAGGGAATAAAAGGAAGCCTTTAGAGAGGCTAGTATTAGAATTTGCACATTACTTATTGTGGCAGGTGAAAGAGGGGTCCATCATGGGTCTGTCTTGAGCCCCTTTCTGTTTTATCATGGCCATAAAATGTTGATAAACCATAAAAAGTAACAAAAGAGTTAAATTTATGCCATAAATTTGTTTTTTGGTGACAATTGCTCAGCTAATTTAATTGAAAGATGGTAGGCTGGCTAGGGACTCATATAGTCCCTCGTAATTGTTCAGATGCAGGTGACAAAAAGGGTAACAGTAATTGCAGGAATCGTCCTGGCAGGCATAATGCAACTGTTGCAGGAATCATTTCAAAGGGTTTGTAGGCTTTACTTGTTCCTGGTTGCATGACTGGGGTAACCTTTAATATATGGGCTCGTATATCCAACCTTTCTTCACAGTTCTTAACTGGCGGCTGAGGATATCCTATTCCACCCCTCCATCCCCGCATGTGCACAAAATGGAACACAAGGGACATGAAATGTCCACTGACTGTGGCTGCTGTTTAAGGGTTAACCTTATACAGTAACTTCAATGAAAGCTAATTTTAGGGAATATTTTTAGGAAAAAATCACCTTGTACACTGGCAAACACGTTACATTGTGTGTACTTGAAGCTTGAAAACCTTTCTACTCGTGAATGCTACAGTTTTGACCTAAGAATATTTTCCAGGATATTTTTTAGAGAATTGTGACCGGGAAGATTTGGATCATGAATTTTTTTATCATAATTCAATTTTGGCTTTTGACTGGTGAATTACAAATAAAAAACCCCTAATTGGGTAGGGTATGCTGTTGATATACCGTATTAAGAATGTGGTAAAATAAGTTAACTATTTTTTAACAGGTGGCTGCAGTTGGCGATGGAGAATTGAACCAAGAAGCTGGCGACCCCACTGCCATTCAGTACACCCCACTTGATAATGGAGCAGCTCTTGGGAACCAGGACCAGAAGCTGTGGGGCACTGAGACACTCATCCCTGCATCCTCTGCATCACTTCCTCGCCCAACCAACTACCAGGCAGAAGGGATCATCAAACGACTCCAGGACAGGTAGCCACCACCCAACAACAACAGCCCAAGACCGGGCCCAGCCGTCCTGCCTTTTTACGGTTGAGCCTTTCGAAGATTAAAGGGCTTGCCCACAGTCATTTAGCCAGTGATGTCCTCGATGCTCTGGCTGTAGCATCGATAGCATTTCAGTTCTCGCTGTTGCCTTTCGCATTTCAGGGACATTATATCTGCCACTACAAGTACTCTTGATTATATAGTATCACATTTGACACTTGATTTAGATGATTGTAGTGTGCCAGTAAGTTTGCCCCATACATGATTTGATGTGCATTAATTTTCAGACCAAATATCCGTATTTTCCGTGAGACCAGTTTAAATTCATGAAATGCACCCCAAACTTTGTGGTGGGTAAGAAGTCACTATTATTCACCAAGGTACAATATAGATATAACATCTATACATTCAGCAAGTTTTGGATGTCACAGATCATTCTTAACAATAAAGTCCAACTGTTAACACATGTTAAGAAACAGGTTTTTCTGAAGTTAATTTGGTTCGTCAAAGTGATTATTGTTCACATTATACGTATGTTTATTTTTGTTTACAACGGGATGGAGTAAGTGCAGAATCCCTCGCAAAACATCATTTCATATCATCAGCTTAATGTCCGGTGTTACTGGTTGAATGATCATGCAGGTTGCATTTTAGAAGGTTCTTTAAGTAATTCATTTTTTACACTTCAATTCAGTCCTTATATGTGTGTGTGTGTTTATTTGCTCATAATTGTGGCCACCTTGCATAATGGTGCAAAAAGGTCTGAAAGAGTGAAATAGACTCTGTCTTTTTCTTTAATATTTACCTGTTCATTGTCACTAACAAAATGCTTCCCTTACACGCAGTCTGTTGATCACTATTGTCAATGTACAGCTCACTATGCCGCCTTAAGTTTCCGTTACTGAGGTCTTGAAAATAGTTATCTGGATGGCGTCACCTCTGTAATACAGTAGACTGAAACCATCCTCCTCTCTCGTGACTTTTTAACCCTACAGATTTTTCTTTCATTTCATTCTCGACTAATCCTACCTCATACTCTCGATATTAGTATAAGAGATTTTCATCTCTCCTACTTTTGATTTTGATGTATTCATTTGTAGAAACAGGTATCATTTCAATACAAAAAGAATGGGGATAAATATTTTATGGTGGAGACTTCTTGCTTGTTCTATGACGAGCTTCAACCCTTAAAAACTGTTAATGGACTTTCAACTTTTCATTTGATATCATAAGTTTTAAGTACTTTCCTCGTTTCTTCCTTATCAAACATAGCTCAATCTTTCAGCATCTTGCAGTTCCTTTCAATGTAAACTAAGTGACTCCCTCTTTTATATACTGTATATACGGTACATACAAAAACATTACTCTTACTTGCATTTGTCCTTAGTATATCCTCCTACATATTTCCTTAAATCTATTAACCAAATTTTCCCAATTCCTTCCCTGATTCAGCTAGAACAACAACAAATTCTTCATACAACATCCATGGTAAATACTATTCAGTGCCATCATGGTATTCCACATGCAGCACCTCACAACCTGGTCTCACCCACAGCCTATGCAGTACTGTATAGGTACTATACTCTACCACATGATCCTCATTGATTTCCATCTTTTACTTCAGATTACTAATTCAAAGTGCCATTTCTCCTTAAACATTTGTTCCAATTAAAAATGTTGGTAGTCCTCAGCAGTCTTTAATGCTTTCTATTATTATCATTAGTCTATATTAATCCATTATGGGGTGAAGGCCATCCCCATATTCTTCCTTAGTCTATAATCTCAAGCATATCCTGACCATTTCAAACCTGAAAACATTATCATTTTATCTTTCCAACTAAAGGTTGGTCTTTCTTTTTTTTTATCCCTGTATCTTATGGTTTCTACTGGAGAACCTCCATGATCCTATTTCTTTAAAAGATTACAACTTGTGAACATTCAATATTTTTCTCATGGACGTAGTGCTTGTGTGAGACTAAAGATCTTGAGCATTTGAACATAGATGTGAGAGTGCACCATGGCATGTCATGATACATGACTGCAAATAACAGATAATAGCATACTGTACATATATACATGCAGTCATGCCTTTGGGACTCACTTTCACAGGTTTCCATGGTAGCACTGAATGGAAATTACAAAACTTGTATTACTCAGACTGTGTTGTTTCGTTAGCTGAGTTAGGCAAGGAGTTTAACAATGTGGTTAGTGATCATTTTGATGCAGTGTGGAGAAGTTTATTGTGGGTTAATGCTAAGAATAATATATATATAATTTTTTTCTTTCTATACAAGCATATGCTATCTTTATGCCTCCTCCACTTTTGTGTGGGATGGATCAAGAGTTAGGAAACTTGAAGATGGAAAGAAATAGTAGGGAGAATGGTGTAAAACACTTGTAGAAAGCTTCAGGGAAATGATGGACCAAAAAGTGGAAATATCCACACATGTTTGGTCATATCCTCAGCATGCATACTCAGTATACAGAGTGAAAATAATTTATAGCATGGGCATCGTCAGTGAGATATTAACTTGGACAAATAAGAATAAGTTTATGTAGTTTAAACAAAAATGGTAAAAGGAGAACATAAGTTAAGAATAGATTAATACAATTGAGAAGAGTTGTAGCATCTCTTAGGGCCTGAGTTTGTAATGAAATGTTCCAGAAGCATAACTTTTATATTTTATTTTTTAGATAAAAAGCTCTAGTTTTTAAGTACTGTACAGGTAAGTCTTGGGTGAGAGTGGAAGAGAGGTACATGATTTGCATATAACTTCAGTTATTACAGAGAGGTTAAGGAAGCCAAAGAAAGTGACAAGATAGTCACCTAAATCCAAAATTATTAATATAGTGTGTTAGTATAATATAATAGAACTTGTGAGGTGAAAGGCTTGTAAAAATATGTGAAACATTATGATGTGCTTGAACAGATGAAGGATTTAGTGGAAATGTTTGAGTGTACATCTTTATGTAGGGGTCAGGAAGAGGGAGGAATGAACATTTCAAGTATTCATAGCTAGTAAATGAATTGGTGACAGTTAGATTAGTATATCAAAGAGCTGATGCTATAGGAATAACAGTATGTGTCAAAGAGAAAGTTTCTTGTGTAAAGCTAATACTGTAACTGGAAGGAAGGCACAAAACATGTGTGTTCAGATGGATCAACCAATACTGTACTGAACTGAACCGAATCATTCTATTAACGTTGAAGACAATTTACTCGCATACTAAAGATAATTTACAGAAAGTTATGAATATCTAAGTAGACTGTAAGAGGCCCAGCTTGTGTGAATAAGAATCTAAAGTAAAGGAAAATAAAAATTTTTGGTAATAGTATCATGATAACATACTTCATGGACTGCTTAACTATCTCAAACTGTACACTGTTCTTTAAAAAGCTGTTATCTCTTTCTCTGTCTTTTACCTTTCAGTAAGCCCTAAATTTACATAAGGGTTACACTATTCTTGAAAACTTCATGTATGTACTGTACAGTCTATAAAAACATGCAAAATAAACTTAACTGCTTGTTGGAAATACAGGGGCAAGTTTTGTTTTGTTTTTATTTTTTTTAATTGGTGGTTCAATCTGTAGACAGCCATCCAAGAGCTTGATCACCACAGTCACAACTATACTTTAAATTTAGCAGAAGCTGTGTATGTATTTCAAATGCATGAAGCTCTTTTGAGAATCTACAGAAGTAGAATTTGTGCAAGTTGAGGGTTTACTGTTTACTTCTCTGTATTTGTCTTTTTATTTTCAATTGCGTGTCTGCCAATATAAACTTTCTACTTTTCATATTGATTTCTTTAATATGTAAGCAGATTGTGTTGACAACATGCTCACTTAATAGTCAAACTAATATCCAGGGAGTAGACCAGTTGACATTGGTTGTCTATACAGTACACGTAGAGCTTTGGAGCAAGTAAAGGGAATACATTTCTCTTCCATCTCACCCAAATGTGATAACAGGATTACACAAATATATCCAGCTTTGAGCAGTAAAATCTCTCATAACTTTATGGGTATTCTTAGGTTACTGCAGTTTTCATAATTTTTTATTGGACTTTGACAAACTCTTATTAAAACTTGTTAAGTCATCCCCCATCCCCAGCAATAGGAGGTGCATTTATTGAACACTTGAGCCTAGAAAAGGTTATCCAGAATAGATGAGGAAAAATATGAGTAGATAAAAAGGAGTATTAGTTGTACTCTGTTGATGAGGTGAAGTTCATCTGGTTGGTGGCTTGTGGGTGGGTGTGTGTGTAATTATTTTGATAGATACATGTACTAGGAAATGGTTAAGGAACATAAGCCACAGAAATAGAAGAGGCACTCAGTATTATGGGTCATACTATAGAAGGTAGAGTGAGATTAAATTTTATAGCTGAACAATATGCAAGGCAAAATACTGTACAGTATTTGATTGGACAGAACCTGAGGGATTTACTGTACTGTACTGTATTCCATGTTCTGTTTATGAAACTGTGGTACTCTGTTTTTGGGCAGTTAGTAGAAACCATTTTAAAAGTGTAGTCTAGTCCCATGAGTTGTTATATCCCCCTGCCTGGGTAAGGAAATCTCGCAGTTTCTATGCCGGTTTATAATTAAAAGTTGTCAGTCTGTAATCATAAGTTGGAGGAGTCAACTCATCCACTGGTTTTTAACAATTTCACTTGTCTGAATGTAAATAGTGTGTATGGGTGGGTGATGTGCATTCTTGAAAGTTACTGTGTGTTTGTAGGTCGACAAATCTCTAGCTCAACACCAGGTAGAGACATCAAATTTTCATTATTGATGGGATGAAGTATTTAAGGAACTGAAACAGTAAATCTTATTTTTCATAGGGGTTGATATTAATGATCATACTGTAAATATTATGCATAGTACAACTAGATCATGGGTAAAAATTTTATATCAAATAATAATCGTATAGATAATTGTTGGCTTGAAGAGGAATTAGTTGTCAATAAGTTGTGAGTTCCTCAGTCTGAATGTACTGTATCATGTTTTAGGTAGGATTTTGCAATTGCTAAAAAACATACAAGAAAATTGAATAACCGGTGAAGTAATGGAAAAGGTTAGTACAGTAATAGAAGCATCCAAAGTTGGGAAAGAAAAGTACTGTATCTGTATATCATCAGTATGTTCATAACCTGGCAGAGGGCTGTACCACAATAATAGTGTCATCAATGTGGAAGCTAATCTGGAATATTGAGACACCGGCATGTAATTAGTAAAAGTGAATATGTAATTAAATTGGAAGGTTGGAATCATTAAAATTCATGATTTTCACTGACAATAGAAAGTTCTGCCTGCTAATATTTTTATGGAACTTTTTTCTTCCATATTCCAACACCAACTAGATGCTTTAATTGCTAGAAATTTAGTAATTTCTGTATAAAAATGAACATAGTAAAGGGAAGATGGTAGAAATTGCTTGCAACTTCCATACACAAGTACAGACAGATTTTCTCAGTGTAATGATTAATCAAATTTTCACTATTAGTCATAAAGTCCATCCATCATCATATAGTAATTGCAGTGGAAGGTATCTGCTAAACAGATGGATAGTTTGTACTGGTGCAACAAATGATAAATATAATTGTAAATATGAATACGATGACTGTATTATAGAAAGCTATTATCAAATGAAAACTACAGTACCGGTACTTGAATGAACAGCAGATGTAGAGGGTTTAGAGTTTAGATATTAAATGTATTTAGTGGAAGTTGGAGTATGAAGCATGAATTAGAAGAATTTGTGAAGATTATCATGTCGAAGGAGCCCTGAGGGAAGGGTGTCTACCATTACAGTCGGTGGGGAACAAATATTAGCCTTTAGTTGACTTAGAACTGCTACTCACACTTTGTTTTAATAGCCAAAACTTTTGTAAGTTTGTTTCCTTCCTCCTTCAGAATAATCTGTTCAGTAGTGTTGTACTGTGTATATTAAGTGTTCTCATTGTTTTACCAGCTTTTTAGAATCATTTGTTTTTCAGCTGGCAAGAACTGCTTTTGAATCAATTTTACGTCTTGTGTCTTCCCTTTTGTCTCGCCCAAAACAGCCGTGCAAGTCTTGAGGAGGTTTACCGGCGGCACCAGACAGAGGCGGATACTATAATAGATGATCTGGTAGCATGCAAGTCGACCATAACCCGCTGCAACCTGGAGCAGCATCCCTTGACCAGCATCTTCCAGTTTTATCAAGATATCCGTGGGTATGTCACTGACTTAAGAGACTGTCTGAATGAAAAGGTGGGTTCACACGCAACCTTGCAATCTTATTCTATGGAAGTGAAAAGATTATTGATAGGAATTGGGTAAGGGCAGTTGGATTGTCTTTTAACACAGTCCAATGGATCAACAAACATGAAAAGAAAAGATGTGTCATACAGTTTAAAGATTGGTTTTCTAATTTATAAGACACTGGGCGGTATTTCACTCGTGCAGTTGCTTACAACCCATATACAGTACTTAGTGGTTGGGTAAGTATCACTGCAAGGGGTGCTGATGATTATCAAGCAATGATTCTCTGTGAGTATATATAACTGAATTAAGAAGCATATACTTTCAGGAGTAAACATATTTGAAGGTAAGGAAGAAGCTTACTTTGAAATGTCTTGAGCTTTGCTTTTACATTATACAGTAAACTGATGCAGTTTAAAGATTGAAATCAGTAAATTTAAAATTCTGCCTCACGTCAGAAATATACAGAAGAGATGTGTAAAAAGGAGAAAGAGAATAGATTTAACTTTAGATAAACATACTGGAGACTACATTTGGATTGTATGTATGTAGGCACTTCAACGTAAGGTAGGTAATGTCACTGTAATTATCTTCAGTAATGTATATTATAAGAACATTGTTTTTTATTTTTTTGGCATTTTATTAATATTTGTCATCTGAATGAAGTATCAATGGCCAAGAGTGTAAAGTTTTGTTTGTACATTATGTACAGTCAAAGAAAAAAGTCACAAAGTCACACGTTACCACCTTCCCCCCCTTGCGTTATGTTCCGAAACCCATGACGAAGAATTTGGGTAAGGTGACAGTGAAGCTTTGAGGTTCGAGTCTGAATGCGGAACTTAACCAAAATTCTTTGTCGTGGGTCTCAGAACATACGTGGTAAATGTAACGTGACCTTCTTTGATTGTACATATGTATTTTCCATAATGTCTAATTGATCTAAAAACCATACATATATATACTTGTTGTACAGTTTAAATTAGGATTCCACATCTAAAATATTTCAGTTTTTCTAAGTATACCTGTACTTACTCTAAGGAAACTATATTTTCATTTAATATACATCTAAGAACCTTTTAGTGTATGTTAGACTTTTTTATCACCTTACAAAAAAGCTTTGGGAATGATATACCGGTAGTCATGGTGTTGTCAATTTGATTGAAGATAAATAGTTTCTACACAGGAGTTAAAAGTTATGTTAGGTGCATTGTAATCAAACTCGGTATGTGTGCTAGGTTGACCCTGATAACAGCCATAGCTTGGTGACTTGAGTAGAATGCACACCATGATATTTGTGGTTTAGGACCCAGGTATTGCTAGGACTACAGTAATAGAATCAGTCTACCTCCTTGTTGCAAGAATAGTCTTTAAATGACTACAAATCTACTGGACGTTTCTTGCAGAGAAAATAAGGGGCTGAAGTATGCCCCAATGTGACACTAACGTGTGAATTACCAAGCTGAATCAGTCTGGCATTTTAGATGTATTCCAGGATCACCTACTAAGTTTCAATGAATTTCCACTATCCATAAGGTGGGAAGGTGTCTTGAGTCACCAAGCTATGGGATCAGTCATAAAGAGGGATTTCAGGAGCAGTCCTTCATACAGTATATGAGTTACTGCCCTTTGTTTAGTGACTTGAGCAACAGAAGCTATCTAGAGCATAGGGATAAATGATGTGCTCCATGTACTAGTGTGACACAGCCTCCAAAAGGAGAGAAAACCTATTTAGTAGGTGGCAAGGTAAACTTTAAAATGTACCTCTGTACTATACAACCCCAATATGGCCAATACATCTAACTTGGCGAGTCACTTGCCAGTGTGATATCATGATTTGCAAACCACATAATTTCTGGCCATTTCATGAACCTTCTTGTGATGAGATAAATTTATCTTCAGTAGGGACACCAGTGCTGGGAGTTCTTGGGTCCTAATCCAAAAAATTGCAGTTTACACTTTCCTTGTGATACCAAGTGAAGGATTTTTAAGTCATAAAAGTATTATATACATTGTTGTTGAAGCCTATCAGTTATAGGGAATCAGCCTTGTAATTGAGGAGTTTATTGGTTATGGTAGGTTGACATTTTAAGAGATAAGAAAGTAGATAAAAAAAGGAGATTAAAGTAAAAAAAAACACATACCGTAGTGTCCTAAGTGTTGTAGGAATATAAACAAGGGAATAACCCTGGCAAAAATTACTGTTGATAATGTATAATGTTTCTGGTAAGTCTAAAAATTTTCTACTCCTAATTTACATTGAAGTGGATAGTTTTGTCAGATTTAGACTCCTCCCAACTTCCCCAATATATTAAAATGTAAACTAGTACTGTAATACATTTGCTAAGGTAAGCATATTCATTATTTTATTGTACAGTGGTCCCTCGGTTAACGAACACAATTCGTTCCACAGTCGTTCGTTAACCGAATCCATTTTTTCAATGGGATATTGGGTAATTGGTTCCAGCTCACAGAAAAGTACATACAAAGTAAAAAAAAATGCAGTAAAGTACACTTACTTTGAGATGTGTATGTAGAAGGTTCCTGATGATGATGGGAATTAGAAGTGGGGGTGGAGGAGAAGGGAGAAGAGAAGGAAGTGGGGATGGAGGAGAAATCACCTTTCAGGGGACCCATGCTTGATGCAGTCATTTCACCAATAGAATTTTAAGTTCACTAGGTGTAATTCAAGATTATTTTATTTAAATCAACACTGCACTGCGCTATATACAGTATTATCAATATGTTAACTAAATTTCAGAATGACCAATAATTTTAATGTAAAAATGCAAAAATTCAAGACACCAACAAAATCAATTTTCACTCCACTGTCAACATAGCCAAACTGATGCCTGGTGACTGAGTCAAGTGGCTGATGGGCGCACAAAAAAATAGTTCCCTGTACTGCATATATTATCAATATGTTAACTAAATTTTAAAATGACTAAATATAAAAAATGCACAAACATTAAAGAGCACAACTTTCTTGATATTTACTCCACTGGAAATGAATGTAAACATAGAACAGATTACTGAATTGGCAGACTAGCCCACCAGCTGATCAGCTAATGCTCACAACAAAGCGTGTTGTTCGTAAGGATTTCGTTAATCGAAGTTTTGTTCGTTAACTGAATTGAAGATCCTTATGGAATGTAATTCATTAACCAAAATTTTGTTAATCGAACCATTCGTTAACCGAGGGACCACTGTACTTAAATTCTGATCTTTATTCAGATCTGTCTTGATTCACATCGGGTATTGGAGATGTTTTTTTAACACCAAATGAATACTTGTACACAACTTTCCACACATACTGTATATCAGGGTTATGTAAAATTCCATCCAGGATTTTTTTGAACCTGATGCACCTTACCTCACTTGGAAACACCAGTTAGAGGCACAACCAGCTGGCATTCCTGAGTTTGAATAGTGGACTAATTTCTAATAATATATACTTATATACAGTACTGTAATGCTGAAACTGAAATGGGGTACCGTTGTGGGATCCTGGCATTGTGAATTACAAAAACAAAAATACAGAAAAATTATGGAACTGGATTAAGTATGTAAGATAAGATACTAAATGAGAAATCATACATCAGCATATTTTTAGAACTATGAATACAGTACTGCTTTAAACTTTACAAGTGGTGGTGATGAGCTAAACCCAGGAACATCTTTATTCTCTTGATACAATATAACACCAGAGGCCAAAACAAAACCCCCCCAAAATTAGATACATTTGAGTAAAAAAAAAATAAAGATTAAAATTATTTAACTGTACAGCTTAATACATTTTCAGTACACATACGGTATATAGTTAATAAATTTCCCATAAGGAGTATAATTTCTTTTCTGTACAGTTTACCATAAGGAGCATATTCTAGGTGATAACTGAAGAATTGTCTTTAAAGTTTCAAGATGTATTTTGTAATATATTAATTGCCTTTCTAAGATCTGTTTTATACTTAACATGTTGCATTGTATATAGTTCTGCCTTCATGGCAGTGTCAGATTCAGATACTGTACCATGGTGTTCTGGATGGTATGCAAAACACAAGAGCTGTTTACTTAGTTTGTTAAACTACTGAATGAAATTTTAAATTCCTTCACATGGATAAGTGAATGCCACACAATCATCTCCCAGTTAAGCAGTTTTAACCCACAGTAATAAAACAAGTTAGTTTCTGATCTAAGACCAACACAATAGTTAATATCCTTATTGGTGTATCCCAGCTCTTAAAGGTGACAACCCTCATACCAAAAGGGTTAACATACTTCAGGGTCTTGAAGTGACAGACTGTTACTATGTACACTGTACCAAAGGCTCCACCAACACTACCAAGGTGTTGGCATCAACCGGCATTTGTTTGGTGGAATGTCCAAAGAGTTGATGATTCACTATTGTATGCAGTAGGCTACCAGTAACCCCCCTAACCTGACCCCTAGTTTACATAAGAAATTAAGATTTATATCATTTTGAGAGACAATAAAATGTACTAAAACTTGAAGATTTATAGAGAACCACTACACAGTATAACTCACATTATATAGAACATAGATTGTATTTATTATTTTTAGTCAAAGTACAGTAGTGACATACTAAATAGAAATTACTTGGGTAGAACTCACATAAATTTTGAAGTACCCTGTTCATTACATTATTAATTTATTGTACAGTATTTCATATTGTAAATATTATCAACACATTCTCCCGAGGAAGGCAGGTTTAAGTGTAATGTACTTTATTTACGTAATTTGAAAATTTTATATCACGTTGGTTTTCAAGACATTGGCCAATATTCATGTTTATTTTGTTTTTTAAGGTTTTGTTTGTCTGTTTCTTATATTTTCCCTTTATAAAGCATTTTTCCTTTGTTGATTTGCATTGAATGTTGTATCACTGGTGTTCTTATGGTGGTCTGTCATTTCCATCAAGAACTGTATTTGTCTGTCAGTGGACAGTTTTGAGTGAATGTTCTCAGGTGTATGTCTTTAAGTAAACATTTTCTCTATGATGTTTTCAGTTGATTACAGTATTCTCTTTAGTGTCCCGTAGTGGATGGTCTGATATTGATGTTTCAGAGTGAATGTTTTCCAATGAGGATAACCCTGTGAAAATTTGTCTAAAGTTTCTATTGTATATACAATTTATTCCTGAAGATATCAGCTTTGGTATTAAACCTTAATAATTTTGAGTAAATACAACTTGTTGGTGCAGGGTGAAAGATTTATTGTATATGGATACATGGTTTTGATACTGGCATTCATATTTGCAGATCAGACCCTGGTTAGTGGTAACATACATACAGTACAGGATAGTTCTTCCCAGGAGGTGGCAATCCTTGTGTTTAGCTTATGTTGACCACATTACAGTACATTGCTTACTTTATATGCAGTGGCTGTTAAGCCGTCGCTGGTTGAATGGCTTGGTCGACACAGCCGAGGATGGCTGAATAGCCTGGCTCTCTATATAGCCATCCCGACTGCATGGACTACCAGGCTATTCAACTGGTGCCTGTTGAATAGTCACTATGTACTTTACACAGTATCTTTCTATCTCAGGAAAAATGTGGTAATGTAGGTTAATGACTGTTTGTGCAGTAATGATAAGCTATTGTTGGTTTGGCATTAGTATCCCCAAACAAGAATTAAGCTCTCCAGTAGAATATGATGTTTAAAAGAACTGAGCATCGGTTCTTGTAATATTTCAAAAGCTTTTTATTTATTTTTACTCTTGTTATTTAGGGTCACATTTAAATTGTACAGTTTCTTTTGAAAATAAATTAATACGTTGAAAATAGCCAAGAGTTGTGGAATGTTTGGGAGATTGAATGGGATGATGTGGTAGGGAATTTTTATGCAAAATAGCGGAATATATGTGGATGTGAGATCATATACAAAAGAACTACAGAACCCCTTTTTGTATGAAACAGAGAAACAAATTGTGTAGAAAAGATTATGCATACTGATTTTAGGGTAAATTCTATGAGAAAACGAAGTGTTTACAGAATTAATAGAAATTTGAGAAAATGACTACAGTAGTACAGTACATGTATCATATATAGTAATGGACTGAAGAATTTTATGGCATCTGATGGTTGAATGGAAGACTTCTGTATACTGTTGATAAGATTACTTTCACCTACAAAGTGTATTATGAGAAGGAGAAGGCATTATCCATGGGTTTGTTTGTTAAACTTTGCTGAAGTTTCTGTTTAAGTCCTGTTTCAAGTAATGTTGGTGTACAGTATTTTGATTTTGGGAGTATCTCAGGGATGGACTTTATTTACAAGGTGTTTACCTCTGTACCTGAGATGAGAATGGGTGGATATGAGTTACTAAACCTTCACAGTAGGGAATGAAATACTATAGGTATGTCATAATTACCTGCCATCATCATCTTGCTCCAAGGTTGAATTTGTTTGATTGGTGACCTATTTTGGTGATCTGGGTAGGAAGAGGATATTTGAATTGAAATGGATGATAAATTAGTAAGGGTATTTGAGAGATCTACAGCAACCCTATTTGAAATGGTGGAAGTATGGATTAGTACAGTACATTGGCTAGAGAAAAAATGTGTTAAAATTTATAAATACAGTATTGAAGGAAGAAGCTTTGCAAGCCATCCAAGAAACCTGTGGAAAGGAAATTGGTTAAATGTAGAATGTTGAAAAAAAGCTTCTATGGAGAAGCATTTGGTATAGTTTTGTGTGGCACTGTGTTATCCTACTTTATAAAGATCTTGGTAAAGGTGAGTGTATGTTTATTGAGTGAAACAGGTATTGGCTGAAATCTCTTGGAGTTAAAGAATATGACAGAGTTACCCTTCATAAATACAAAAAATTCCACAATAGATTTACTGTACATGTTTTCCTACACTACTGTAGATATCTCATTATTTCCATGTACGATACATCTTTCTCCCAAATGCACAGTTTTCTTACAACAATAAGAATATTACATATGGAGAAAACCAGTTATATTTACTCAAATGTCAATTTCCTAAAAGAAACTGAATAACGGGGGCATTCTGTCGGCAGGTCCCAGATATCAGCGCTCTAGAGGATCAGGTGTATATTCTTTACCGCCAGCGAGCACAGAAGGTGGTACAGCGCCGACGACAGGATGTCAGAGATCAGAACGATGAATTTTCACCGTTTGCAGGTAGGTTTTCCTTACATATAATGTACAGTATAGCTTAAGCAATCAAGATATACACAGGACTTGGGATGAGTATCCTTTTTAGGGAAGACATGAAAAAAGGTACAGTAATATGTAGCCAGTGTAGGATTTTGCTGTCATGTAATGCAATCTTATCAATATGTTTCACACACTTGTAAATACATATAGATCATATGTATACATAGTTACATACATGCTGAGAACCCTGTGGATGTGGGTGGGTGGGTCGGAAGTTGCCAACAGAGACTACATTCCATGGCACCATGCCCTTATTTAACAAAGGAAGTGTTAGTTTAGATGTAAAAAATGGATGTGTTAAGGTGTTTTGAAAAGGTGGAACTGTATATATAATTTATGATATTTTCATTTTTTTTGTCTGATTTTTTTACTAAAACAACCTCTAAAAGCTTTATTTCAACTGCTTCTTGAAGTTTACACGAGTTCTAATATTTCCTCAAGGACTTTACAAACAATAATATTTTTTTTTTTAGATTACTACAGTATTTTCTGTACAAACCCATTAGATACTATATTTAGATATTTAGGCTGGTACTGTACAGCACTGTATTGCTGTGAGGGAGGAGAATGGATACATGCATGACAGGCTGTGTGCGACTTTTTGCATTTTTTTATCCACTACTGAATTTTGATAGGGCAGCATTGATCCTTCGTTTAGTTACTGTACTCATATAGTGAAATGGGTTTTGTAACATCACGTGTACAGTATAGAGATGAGGAGTTTGTAGTATAAGTTAAAATTTTACATGAACCAATTGGGTTTCAAAGTGAGCAGTTACTGTGAACCGTACTATATTGATAATCTGTTTAACATGTACTTTTCTCCTCATGAAAAGGGAATGTTAATTGCAATATAACCATACGGTATTACATTTATAGGAAAAGGTGCTACTGGTGATGAATATCGGACAAGGAGAGCAGCGGAACGGGAAGGTCGCCGCACTCGCAGACGGAGAGAGCGGGAGAAGAAAGGGGATGTCAATCATCACGATGGGATGTCAACTGATGATGAAGAGTCACAGTCAGAAATACAACTCATGCAGTCTGAACTAGGTGTGTATAAGGGGTATTCAATGTGAGGAAAGCTTGTAATTCACAAAACTATATACAGTAAAACTCCCTATAGCTCAGTACATATGGGCCTGAGGCCTTGCCGAGTATTCAAATGTGCCGACTTATCAGTAATGAGCCAATATTTATATAATTAATAAAAACAGAGTTATATCAGGTACTTACAACAGCAAAGGCCGATTTCTTGATGAACTTTTAAGAGGCAAATGAACTGTACTGTATACTGTATTATATGCAACTTTTGGCATTGTACAGTACAGTAAATTGTTCTGATCAATTTATGCTACTGTGTGTACTGCACACTTTATACATAATGACACTTCACAGGTACTGCAAATAATTGTTCTAACAAACTTAAGACTATTGTACACTCTATACATAGCACTTTACACTATCTGTACAGTACCACTTCACAGGCACTTAATCACTGTCAGAAGGTCTACCTGTGATGAAAGGCGTTCGTAAACTGATGCTCATGGGCTTGTCAAGCGTGGGCTGGCTTGCCAAGTTCTCATGCCAGAATTGGCTCTCGCTTACTTTGCACCAATTTACCAACAATTGAAAAATGCAATGGTTATACAGTGCCATGCTGGCTTATCACAAATTACGACTTACTTGATTCCGAACTATGGGGGTTTTACTGTATGTTTGACTAAATTCCATTCTCAGTGCATCTCAAAAGATTCATCTCAGGAATTTGTATTCTCATAACCAGTCTACTAATACAAACTCCTGTTTCACATGGAAGAAGCCTTATCAAAGTTGATAGTTCAAACTTCCTCATCTCATTCTGCTTTTCCTTGTGAGGAATAAGCTATAGAGCTGTATTTGTAAAAAGTTTTGATTGGTCACATCACTTACGGTAGTCATTACAGAGACTTAAAACTTATATACCTGTACTAAATAAAATTTCTTTTAATTTTAATGCTGAGCCTTTACATCACAACTAACATATTCATTTAATGTTATTGACCACAGAACACATTGCCTCTGAAGCACGCAAAATATTTGAAGATGTAGAAGATGACTTCTCTCAGTTAAAACGCATCATGGCAAGGTTTGAGGAGTGGCGTAGTAAGGATGGCCCCACATACTCAGATGCTTATGTGTCCTATAATTTACCCAAAATATTTGCTCCCTATATAAGGTCAGTACCACAGAAAATTATGTATTTAGTGTACGAGATGTGGAAATGGTAACATTGAGTTTTATATAAATTTCATGAGTTTTTTAAGGGATTCCTAAGAAACTTGATAGATTAGACAGAATTTGTATTTAAGAAAAAAAATTGCAGGACCATGTTCACAAAGTGGTATTTTTATACAAGTTTCAGAAAAATTATAACAAATAAAATAGGGAGTTACACTATAGACCCCTTGTGTGACAGTAAAATGGACTTAACAGTGTAGTACAATATGGACCCCACATTCATATTTTATATGCTCAGAAACCTATTATATAAAGTGCATGATCCTGATTTAAATTTTGTGGAATTCTCTCATCAAGAATATGGTATGAATTTCATCTTCCTGGTATGTCTTCCACATTATATTTGATAAAGTAATGCACTAGTATTGTACAGTTATATAGATATACTGACTGCCTCTTACCTTCAAATGACAATCTAATACTGTACATGTGAGGCACAGTAGCATAGAAATTATATTGCACCTTTGTCTTCCCTGCAGACTTCAGATCTTATTATGGAATCCACTAATGAGAGATAGTGACGGTATAGAAGTTGAACGAATGAAATGGTTTAACCTTCTCCTTCTCTATGGTACAAATGATAACTCAGAGGACGATCCTTCGCGTTTGAGGGAAGATCCTGACCGCAAGCTCATGTCACATCTTGTAGAAAAAGTAGTTTTGGTAAAACTAAAAGGTAGGAGTCATTCTTTTTTATTATCATATAGGTGTGATGTATTAAGCATTATTTAGTCTTAAACATTAGTATATAGTATAAAGATTAAGTATGTTATTAATTGTTCAACCTGTGAGGGGCAAGAGTACAGTATTTGGCTAAATGTTGTCTGATTGATAAAACAAGGAATGAATAATATTTTGCTTCCTACTCAGCTGGGGCCAGCATTTGATGAGACAACTTGAGAAGCAATGAGTAGGGTCAGAAATAAGCCTCCAAATATAACTTATTAAAGAAATGAAATGAAAAGAAATATTACAAAATTCACATGAAGCAATCTTTGACTAGTAAAAAAAACAAAGCATCAGGTATGGAGTGAAGTCTTTACTGGTTGGGATGGTAAAGTTTAATCCAATTAATTTATCGGGTACAAGGAATTAGTAATCATTTGTCTGGGCAACTTTTTTAATACAGTAACTTAAAACAAATATAAATAATTAGATGAACGTTTGTATGGGGATGTAATCATTGTGTTTAATCACATTGATCTAAAACTACTTCAAGGTCCAATGATCATAACTCGTGATCAACTTGGGAAACTCCCTATAACACTCCACCTCTATATGTACCCAGGAGTAATAAAGTTTCTTCAGTGAGACTTAAGTAACACATGATTGGGAATACAGTACAGGTATCATCAATCTTGATCCAAATTCTCAAAAAAAAATTACATTAATACTTCCCCCTTGTTGAGGATGAGAAAATATGTGTATTTATTGTAGTTTTAAGTATCCTTTAACATCTATTTTAGTCAGAGTCTTTGTGTTGTATCTTAAGTCTGCTGGTAGTAGGTGCTCTCATGTCAAAAGCTAAGAGGACAAATGAATTTTATGTCTTAATATTTGCTAATTTTGAACCTATCTTACAGTCTTTTGCTTGATTAACCCTTAAACTGTAACTGTATGTGTGTGTAAACAACACTAGAAAAAAATCTTAAAAGCAAATTACTATACCTGTAAATTCTTATGCAATTAAAGAAATGCATGCAGATGTATAAAAAAAAATAGATCCTTTATCTACTTTTGTTTGGCCTAAGTGGAGTACAGTACTTAAGTGAGTGTGTGGGGGCTGAGCAACTAGGAGGCAGGAGCTGGGGAGGGGGAGTCACTCTGGTAGACCGCGACAAATGTACATCTTCCATGTTCTCTAAGACTGTACGGAGGGCTTAAGTGCTGCTTAGGTGGTGTGAGAGATTTATTGGGCCACTTGACACATATTTTGAATGCTACACTTGGTGATCAATATTAAAACTGCTTGAAAATCTTGTCATTAAATGGTGCTTTTTTTCTTGTTCCCCTTTGAGCTCAGTAAAATCGTCTGGTATTAGCCAAATAAAATGTTAAAAGTGGTGTTCCCATAGTGAAGGGGTTCAAGGTTAACAATGTGTGCATAATTCATTAATAAATTATAGACCTAATGCTCTGGGATGTTTTTGATTTCTTCAAAAATATATCTCCCCCTTTGCTATTTCTGTATTCTTTTAATTTTATTGTCATGTGATTTTTCTTTAGGATGTAGAATAAGTAAGAGCACCTTGAAAAAAGGGCAAAATTATTAATGATACATTCTCTTTCCCAGAAATTATTGGGTGTTGGTGGGACCCTTTATCTCACATACAAACGGTGAGGCTTGTCAACATGGTGAGACACTATGCAGAGGCCTACCCAAGCTTAGGTCCAACTTCTAAAACCTTGAAAGATCTCACTCACGCCATCATCTCTAAGATCAGAGATGCAATAGACAATGATATTTTTATTCCAATGTTTCCTAAAAAGTAAGTATTCTTTACCCTTTTGTTGTTTTGAGTATATCAACCATATACAAGTACAGTATATGGCTGTTATTCTTTAAGACCAGTTAGCTATATAAGATGATTGAGGAAGCATTTTTAAAATATATTGAAAAAGCTTTAAAAGTCGAGATATAGAATTTACTCCCTCTTCTTCCCTTCGTCATAAAAGACAACTAAATTACGTGGATTAGTAAATTACCTTTACTACTGTACATTTGTTATTTGAACACAAGTGATGTAGAACTTGCAATGATCTGTGATAAGTATTACAAATACAGATATTCAATGGAAAATGAAAGAAGTAAGTGAATGTGAAAAAGATTAGAAGTGAGAAAAGATATGTGTACCAGATTGATGGTTCTAAATCAGTAATTGTCTTGCTTTATAAATGTAACGCTGAAATAAATTAATAAAGCACAGAGAAAAAAAATATAATGACCAAAGTTGTCAATATATGCGATAAGATTGTGAGTAATGTCTAATTGGTGGGAAGAGGTGAGCACAGAGTGTACTTGAAGGAATGCTTCTGCCATTATGTATGGTCATACAATTTCAGGTATTTTAGGTCAGTGATAAATCAACACTGTATCATACAGTATGGTGTTTGGAAAATGGAGAAATTAAAATTTAAGACTATGTACAGTAGAGTTAAAGACCTTTGGAGAGTCAATTGAATGAAATTGTGCCAAAGTGATATAAGAATTTGAAGTGTATAGCAAGTTAGACATTGATTTAAGTAATATTTTACTGCACAATTGAAAGCATTAGAATGAGATGAAGGTAAAGAAGAAATTGACAAGCATTATAGTGAATTAATGAGGAGGGAAATGGGCACCTAGGAGGCAGCTATGTGTGTAAGGGATGAGAAAGTATGGTATTTAGGGATGCACATGCACTTAATGGTTCATGCTAGGTTTCATTAAGTGACACGAATAAACTAATTGGATGTCTTTGAACCTTATTTTGGAAGACGAGCACTAGCATTACAGAACACAACTATTACAGAATTTAGAGAATGAATGACTGACAGCAAATAATGTTAAGACAATGAATGACAGTAAAATTAGTACAGTAGTGTGTGTTTGCTCTTGATTCCAGCCACCCTACAGGATGGCAGGAAAAGACTTTAATGAAAAACTAAACAAAACAAAAACATTTGATCTATCCCACATGAATAAAATCCTCGGGGAAAACAGAGTAGAAATCTTTGTTTTGGACACCTTGGTTTAAGTGGTTGTTAATACAGTACTGTATTTACTGAAGTGTACAGTAATTTACACAACATATATTTTATTTGAACATTTCTTTTCTTGCAGTGTATATGACAATAAGAACTCGGGAGTGAGCCTGTTCTTTCAGCGACAGTTTTGGGTCGCCTGGAAACTTTTAAGTTCTACGCTAATGTGGCACAAGGTCTTGAGTGATTCAGTTATTCATGATCTAGCTGTTCGATCCCTTCTTAATTTGTACCTGTTACCAGCACTCAACTTAGCTGCTGAGATCAATCCCTCCGATGCACTTGATAAGTGTAGAAATGTAAGTACCGTACTGCATTGCACTACATATCAACAATATTCTGGTTTTCTTGTGTTTACATTAAATATAAACAGTACAGGTACAGTATTGGAAAAATATTGAGAAATTCCTAGTGTCTGGCAGCACTCACAGCACAGGTCTGCAAGCAACACTAGACATGCACATACAGTAGACCTGTAGTCATTATCCAGACCTCTTCATCAAATATTAAGATTCTATATATTATAACAGGTTAGTTGATCTTTGGCCTTAGAGCAGGATGGCATCTACCTTATAACCAACTTGTCAGCTTGCCAGCCACTGGGTTGTTCAACAAAATAAACACTCATGCACTGCAACATATTCCCCTCACATGGTAAAACTAACACCTAAGACTTTGCATCATATGTAACATAAGTGTCTGAAATCACAAGAGGACTTTTTAAAATTTCTAGATGAGAGTCGACACTGCATGTGTGTTCACTGTGCAATGGATGACTAGTATATGAGAAGTTATTCTTGGGGTGCAGTGTTTTATAGCTTGTAACAACAAATAAGGGACATGAGTGTCTGTATTTCTGCTTGGCAGCAAAACTGTCAAGGCTTATCCCTTTCTAGAGGGACCTTTTTATCAAGTGGTTAATCTTTGGGAGTCAGGTATAGTCTAATTTTCAAATATTTTTTATAAAAAAAAATAACATATTCAAGTCACAAGTCAAATCCCTGGGGCCTAGGATTTCAATCCGTATAGAGTAAACCTTCCCATTACCAGACTAATTTGTGCAAGTCCTGTCCTTTATTGGGAGGATTCCCTGAATGGGAGGGTTTCCTTTTTATCTCATGTATATACGGTATAAAATTATACAAAAAAAATTTCACTCATCATTACTGGCCATCTAAATGTACACCTTATACAGTATTGTATATTTGAGTGTCAGGAAACCAGAATGCTTGGTCATGGAGTTTCATGAGTTTTTGGAGAATTTCTTCTTTTTCTTTGACATTAGGCGCTTTGTTTTCTTTTTGCTGTACTGCATCAGTACTGACAGGAAACCAAAGGAAGAAGTACTAAGACAAGCAAAAACTTCAAGAGAAATTTTGGTACTTGAAATGTACAGAAAAATAAAAATGAGACACTTTGGGATGAGGGATAATAACAGAAATATTAATGGGTAAAGTTGAGGGTAAGAGGGGGAGTGGAAAGCAGAGACTAGGATGGACGAATGAAATTAAAAACTGGGTCCCCAGAGATACAAAACCTTAGAAGATTGGTAAAAACAGCCTGAGATATGAGGACGGTACTCTAATTGATTGATCATTACCATCACTTTTGTGTTTGTTTTGAGACATTTTAAGGGCAGTACACCTGGTCCATAGCAGACAATGTTCCCATTACTGGATGTTATTGGTTAAGTTTGCTAATTATACCAGATAAAAAGATGTCCTTTATTGGGAATATCCCTAATTGAGAAGTCCCTTATTGAGAGGTTTACTGTAATGTGCTTCCTGGCTATACAGAGTTGCTCAATCCCATTAAACAGCAGGATAAATTGTATCTCTACAACAAAAAGATGTAGAGTATGATTTTTTTACCTTCTTCAAAACCACCCAACCAGTGTTAGTGACACACATGATCACAGGCTGGGTGAATCCAACTTTGTTCGAGAAGTTTGTTTATGAAAATGTGGCATCCGTAGTACTCAAATTATAAAAATTTTCAATGAACAATAAGTATTGATCATTGAATATCAGTACCAAAAGCTGGTGTATATCGGTTTTCTGGACTGATATTTGAATTTTACAGTATATAACATACGGCACATGTGTATCTCAGAATTTTCTTCGCACCTACACATACTGTACTGTGCAACATTCATGAGCCCTTGATCTGTGTTTGGTTTAGGAACTACTTTACTAGCATGATGTATATCAGATATGTTGGGATGTTTTTAAAGAATTGATGATGTAGAATTAAGTGCTGAATACTGTACTGTAATTGTATTTTATTGAGGGTTTGTGTCATATTCATTGTTCTAATGCATACTATAACATTACAGTGTCATGTTTTTTTAATCTTTTAACTTGTAATGTCTACATTATGTTAACTAAAGTACAATCTTCTGATTTCACCAATGAAACAATGAACACCCACAATTTTGGAACTTTGATCTCAACTTTTGGCTAAATAGTTAAATGTAATTATATCCATTACAGGTAATCAATGCACTGCCCCGTGCCTGGGTAAAAAGTGAAGGAACTCATGTTTTTCTTGGCCGTCTTGAAGATTTTCTGATCAAGCTTGCTGAAAAGCTTGATCCAGCTGCTCATTCTCCTGCCCTAAAGGAGGTGTGTGACCTCTTGAAATCCATTGGTGCACAGACCCAATCTGACAAGATAGCCTACAAGTACCTGTAATCATTAAGGAAAAATTTTTATATTAGGGACCGGTTTCAGTGTAATTGTAACTAGTAAAGATATTGTTATTTATATCATTAATTACATGTACTGTATTTTCATTATTATTATTATTCATATTTTTTAATATTATTAAATTATCATAAAGATTTAATATTCATCAACTTACTGTGTATCCATTCTTCATTTTCTACTAGTGAAATTGATGTATGAATTACTGTACATCTCTAAATTATTTTTGTTATATTGCAATTACTGTATACATATGGATCATTTGAAGATGTATGTACTTGCATGTGATTTTATTGCATAAAACTCATATTTGGTACAAAATATCCAAAACTAATCTTCATATACCTTGTACAGTACAAGAAATTGTATGTGCTAGTAGTTGGGGCCCTCAGATTTTTTTTATTTATTTATTTATTTTATTTTTGGATGGGTGCAGCAAAAACAAGAAAAACTAATGACATGTCAAAATTCAGTAGTTCATCATCATCTGTCCAGTATAATATGAATTCCTGGAAATATATATTTAATTTTTGTTTATCTGTGGAACTAAAACTTAGTAGGTACTTGTAATTTAACATAGCATGTTACAATGCCAGTTTTTCTTTTTTAATAATTTTTCCAGATTCAGTTTCAACAAAATGGTCTTTCATTCTCATACAAAGTTCAGTATATACACACACACACACACAGTGACTCAAGGTAGCTGTGAATCAGTGCACATTCTTGGTCTGCTGGAAATAAGGTAGAAAATGCCTCATTTGTTTCCATTATAACATGTGTACTCGTGCGAGTTTTCGTACAAAGTGTCTGTATTTTGTAGAGCAGTCTTCCCACATGTAGAGGAGGGTGAGGTACACAGTCTCCCCACATGTAGAGGAGGGTGAGGTACACAGTCTCCCCACATGTAGAGGAGGGTGAGGTACACAGTCTCCCCACATGTAGAGGAGGGTGAGGTACACAGTCTCCCCACATGTAGAGGAGGGTGAGGTACACAGTCTCCCCACATGTAGAGGAGGGTGAGGTACAGTCACATGTCTCTTCCCACATGTAGAGGAGGGTGAGGTACACAGTCTTCCCACATGTAGAAGAGGGTGAGGTACACAGTCTTCCCACATGTAGAGGAGGGTGAGGTACACAGTCTCCCCACATGTAGAGGAGGGTGAGGTACACAGCCCCACATGTAGAGGAGGTGAGGGTCTTCCCACATGTAGTGTGTAGTGTAGAGCACACAGTCTTCCCACATGTAGCACAGTCTGTAGTGTGTAGAGGAGGGTGAGGTACACAGTCTCCCCACATGTAGAGGAGGGTGAGGTACACAGTCACAGTCTTCCCACATGTAGAGGAGGGTGAGGTACACAGTCTCCCCACATGTAGAGGAGGGTGAGGTACACAGTCTTCCCACATGTAGAGGAGGGTGAGGTACACAGTCTCCCCACATGTAGAGGAGGGTGAGGTACACAGTCTTCCCACATGTAGAGGAGGGTGAGGTATACATTCATTTCCTTTTAGTTTGGTTGACAACCACCTCCATACATTCAGGAGAACCAAACAGCAATATTAAAAGCATTTACCAAGTTTGTCATTTTAAGGTGAAATTTAGCAAATTTCTTCATGTTTCATCTTTTGATTCATCAACTTTTGTATTCCTTACAGTTCAGACATATTGTATAACCCATAGAAAATAGTTCACATTTTTTTTAAGTGGAAGGCTGTTTGTATTGATTTGTGTATATCAAAGATACTCCATAGCTGCATTTTCTACACATGGACTCCACAGTTATCAGTAAAAGATAGAACTTTTCCCATTCATATTTTATATTTATTTATTATTTATTATTATTTTTTTATCTGGTTTGCTGAGGAAGACTACAGAACCAAGTACTGTACCACCTGTGTTTATTACAAATACACTCGAGTGCACGAGATGTCAACAGGGTTTCCCTTTCAGGTGCATACTAGTTAAGAAAATCTTAAGTACTGTAGTACCACTGTTGGCAGTATTAGATTTGTTTGTTGATAAGCAATGGAGCATATTGAGCTCACAGTTAATTTGAGAAAGGCCAGTTTTAATTACTTGAATAGTTTTGGTATTACAGTACAATATGGTTTTAGTAATCTAGCCTTCACTAATTCAAATACTGTACAGTACCTATATTTCCTTAATCCAAACTTGAATTTTGTTTCCAATTTTTTCATAAAATAAATATTTATAAAAAAGGTAAAGGCAAAGAAAATTCAAGTTTATACTTTGCTAAGAATGGTCGGTAATCACCAAACACATGAGATGACTCACTATATCCTATGGTTTATACATATGTTTGTAATTAAAGTGGTGCACAAGTAGGGTTGAAAGTTGTCTGTTATTGGTTTAGAATACTGTAGGTATAACGTGGGTTTACAAACAAAGTTCTTTTCTAATCTTTTTTTATTTAGTGGTAAAGAGCACTATTACTGCTCCTATCTAATGCAGTATACTGTATAATGTACTGTATCTATCAATCACCTGCATACTATACATCAAGCATCAACAGTAAATTATGTAGTATAAAGATATTCCCACTTATTTGAAGTTTTTCTGTGTCTACCAATTAGCTTGAATTATTGAGAGTGTACTGTTTGTGCAGGGCACATTTACTGACACTTAGAATATTGTAGATATTTTATAAAAAATTTGCAGAATATCTGTACAACATGTGAATTTTGTTTTAATAAGAAACTAAAAGAAAAATTCTTAATACAATGTCTTTGCTTTATAATCCCAGTCTCCCATACAGAGTTGATGATGAGAAGACTGTGCCACAGTTACCATATTTCAGTATGTGCAAAAACAAAACTTGAGTAATGTCTGACTGATGAAAACATTATAGTGTCATATCTTATCTTATCTCGGCCAAGTGTGGCTAAAGTGGTGGTGATAGTGGAAGCTGTCATTAATTATAGGACTCCTGAGTGAATGATTGCTTCCCAAATTAAGTCATTCTTATGAAATATACTGTAAGCATCACTTAGTATCATGTTTTTTCAAATTTATTTTTTATTTTAGTTCCTGAGACTAATTGCTAGGAGTTAGTATTATAGTATTAGGACAAGGAGAAAACTTTGATTTCTCAAGTACTGTACAGTACAATATGCTGAAATGTAGATTTTTATGAAGTTTTCAGGGATAATGGCCTTTGGTATCTTGCCCATGCAGGTTAAGTAAATAGTCCCTCCAATCGTTTTGAATTTATAGTATTTCCAATTTTGAACTTTGGGATAGACTACAATTTGTCAAAAGTGGTTTTGTAAGTTTTCTAACAATTTTGAGATAAAAGACTGCAGCACCTAGAAGATGGGCATGAACAAATGCTTAAGTAATGTCTTCACATTGTCATTATAATGATTAGGTAGCAGAAAATCTGTTTCTCATCTATAAAAAGTTTCTCTTTAAAATTCATATTGCCTCATGTAAAAACTCCTCTCAGATCTACAGAGCCATTGAGTTATTATTTGTTTATTTAATTTTCTACTACTTGAAAAAATAGTTTTAATTAAATTTTGCTAGTCCTTTAAAGGAAAAGAAAATTTAAGGAAACTACAGCAATAGTAGTTCACTCACCAAGAGATTTGAAAGTACAGTATGGTTTTTGTGATGGTAGTGAGCATGTTATTGTATGCAATAATTGTTCTCTTTGTGTAGACTGTAGAGTGATAAAAAACAGTATAGGGAGAATTTCATTAAATTTTTTGGAAAAGGCTTTTCAGAATAGATTTAAGTCATATAAAACTATTGCAGTTACAGTATATTTGCTGTGTTTTATTGACTGCTTTAGTATTAGAATTGACTGATTTGGATATTATTCTAATTTGAGTATTAGAAGTCATATTGAGCTTCAAATTTATTCAACAGTATTGTGTTCATGACTGATATGTAAATTGAAGCCAAAATAAGGTAATGTAGTACTCAATTTTACTGTCATTATAGTTGTCAGTGGCCCACATTGGGTATACAAAAGCCCTGTTATAAGTATACTTATGTGTCATCTGTCCATCAAGTGTTTTGTGTTTGTTGGTTATCTTTGTAACGAGTTAAGTTATTGCAGTGAAACTTGGTTAGCTTTTGGATCATCACCTAAGAATTTCACAAACTGTTCATGACCCTAACCTCTGGTTCAGGGTCAGAATTCATTATCAAATGGTGTCAATGAATAATTTTCCATTTGCCAATTGCTGTCAGTGAATGGTTTCTTGTTTGCCATGTAATATTGTACAGTATCTGGTTAAAATATTGTAATGAAACTTGATTTGCTTTTATATTATCACCTAAAGATGTATTGCATACAAAAATCATGACCAAATACTCGAGGAACAAGGTCAGATCATATTCACTAAATAAGTCTGCTACTGGTTAACTTATGTCTTTGGAATCTGATGTGCTTTTATATCGTTACGTAAGGATGTGTCACCCACTACAGATATATATCCATCTGCTTGTCTATCAATTAATTTCACATTCACTCAATAGCTTGAGAACCAGGGGATGTGTAACCCTTGCCTTTTTCAGCTGTTATCTGTATAGCTGAAGCTGTTGGACATAGCAATGAAACTACAGTACAGCCATAGTACCGTATTATTTAATGCACTATTTGGCATGCTAATGATGGGGGTGCAGCAATATGTTATGTTATGACATACATAGAAATTGAAACATTCCCTGTACTGTATAGAGCTTTGTTGTAATTCACCTGCTTTTGTTTACTCTAATTGCAGTGAAATTGTTTTTGTTTCACCTATGGCACTGATGTGTTGTATTTGTATTATTTTATTATTATTATTATTTTTTTAATTAAATCCTCTTTCTCCAATGCATACATTATAAGCACTGACAGCTTCCAAAAAACTTAAATAGACAAAGGGGAAATTTGTACTGTATGTTAATTTTTGAAGATATGAGACTGTCAGTTTGTGAGTGATGATTGATGTCAGAAATTGACTCGAGGGGGATATACAGTACTGTACAGTAGTAAAGTGTCTTTACTGGAATAATTGTTGCATTGGATGGTCTTAACCATGGAAAAATGCAATTCAATGTGTTATATGTACTCATTTACTGTACAGAAATTCTAGTTTTCAGTAGTTTATTAGATCAATACTTACCCCTGAGTAATGGTAAATAGATAATGATATTTGCACATTCTCCAGGGTCCTTGTGATGTTAATATTCTTAGGCACTTTTATTATTATTTGTTACATACTATATTATTAATGTTTGGAGTGAGTACGGCTACAATACCTGTACTAAGTTGGCATTAGATCAGAATGAGCCTTATTTACATGCATTTAATATCAGGAACTAGACAATAATGTATAAAAAAAAAACCCATATTAAAATACTTTCAGTTCATATTGATTGTGGGTAGCACAAGGACTTCAGTTGGTATTCACTTTATAAATTCTGTAATACAGAATTAGTGTTGTTTTAAGTTTTGGAACAGGCTGTTATTATCTGTATCTGGTTGGTATGCTTGCAACAGTAGAATGTTACAAAGAAGTGTTGTTAAAGGCTTTATTAATGGAAGAAAAATTATTCAGGGTTTTGTAATAAAATACACTTAACATGGGAAAAAAGATGTAATCACCAATTCACTCTTGTTGACAATTCAGAAACATTGTACAGTTGTTGGTGCATGTCATTGTAGTTTCCTTGGAGTTTGTAGTTATACAGGCAGTCATTCCATGCTCACATACTTGGTCATATCATAGTGTATTCTGTGCATGCATATCATAGTCTATTCTCTTGCAATTTGTTTTATATTCTACAATTTCTCAATACAAAAAGTTGGTGCAATTTCATTAAATTTTTTTTGAAAATGTAGACAAGGGAATTTTCTGCCTGTAGGCAGTAGCTTCTCATTCTTGTGTCTGAATGATACCCTTGTCATTTACACAAATTTTTTTATTAGTACAGTACAGGTAGTATACTGAATGTACAAAATTACAAAACAAAAAATTACACTTTTTTGTCAAATTGTGTTTATAACTAAAACTTAAACAAGTTTGTATAAGGGTCATTTACTTTACAGTACTAATGTGTGCATATCTTGTTCCATACCATGTGAGACTACCAGAGTGTGATTTTTATTCATTGTTAGGGAGATTGCAACAGTCTATATTATAATACATTGGAAATTGAAAAAGTTTTGTTGGAAATTTTATTGTGTAAAGTGGGTTGGGTAACAGGACTAGTTAATGAATTTATTGCAATATTTTTAGTCACAGACTGTGATGGACTAAAGATCTTGTTCACTATATACTGTAATTAGCATTAATTTAGCTTTCTAAAATTAACCTAACATTTATATTGAGATATGGCAAGTACCCTGTAATGTGACATAGTGTAAGTCTAACCCATGTTCTTGGAGGTAGGGACATTAAAAAGATTTATTCTTATTCCTCCACTAATTTGGTAAGCAAAAAGTACTTTGCCCATTAACATGCCCAGTACATGTATTCCGCAGTTATTGAGGAGTCTTACCAAATGTTATTTTAATACTTGCAGCCAATCCAGCCATATTTGGTTTTATTTGTGGTTACCAGTGCAGTGTAATCACAAGGTGTAACAGTAATTCAGAAAATTTACAGCTATTTTACCCCCAAAAATGTGATGAATGATACTATTGATGATGTTTTCAAAGGTACAGTAGTAAAATACTAATATGTAATTACAGTGAGTGGTTAAAGAGTACAGTACATTACTGTATTCATTTGCTGTAATATATGGTACTTCTACTTTGTTATATACTGTACTGTATTTAAAAAAAAACATAGCAACTAGTCTTTGTCATCAGTTAAAAATGTGGTGTGATGGAGGTTACCTAATTTTATATTTAATTATTTTGTTTAATTTGCTAAGAATGTTGCAAATATAATCTTGCCATACATGGTCAGATTGCATTATCAAGATTGTATGTAGCCACAGAAGTTATTTACAGTATTTCATAATATACTGTAGATACTAGGTGTGTGAGTGTCTATGCTTGAAATATAATGAGTGACTTGTTTTCATTTTTATTTGACTGTAAGTATATTCTTTAACAAATTCATTAATTTACTCAGGAAGTACCATTCTCTTCTAGTATTGTTCTTCAACACTTTGTGTTCGTTAATAATTCTTAATGCTGGTATAAAATGAATATTTAATCAAAGTATGATGAATTATGATGCTCTGGACATTATTTACACTATAAGATAACAGTACAGTACTGTTAAGACTTGACACAGACCTTGACACATAAGTTTCTGAAGGACACTGCTATCTTTATCATGTAGTGCAGTGTGGAGACTATGATGTTCCAAAAAATTTATATGCTTATTATTTGCTTTTTTTTTGTACATTGATATGAAAGTTACAATAAATGATCTTCATATTAAGGTCAAGTAACAGAAAATAAGAATATTGTCTGCAGTGTCAGGTATACATGTACAGTAGTTATAAACCAGTGTGAAAAGTCCAATGAGTTAGTACAGTATAAAGATGAGCAGAAGCGTACTCCAGTGTTCTATTTCACATTGAACGTGGAGGTAAAATTTTAGAATAAAAAAGTAAAATTAAATATAGGGTTAAAATATACCACATTTGCTAAGTCATTCATTCAGTACTGTTTCATATATTCTAAGTACATTACTGTACACCTAAGTGATGAGGACATGCTTTTTTTTGTAACATGAACTGTAACCAACCAGGGCAAGAAAATCTGGACTTTTAAGCCTTGGTATTCTGTACTTGGAGGTATTTCGAAATTTACTGTCACTTATTTTGAAGTTAATTGAAGATATGGATCATATGTTTGATAATGGAGATTAGATGCTGCCCCTACTTAATATTTTTTGTAGATAATCTTTTATAAGATGGGTTTCCATAAATATAAATAAATGTTTTTACTTTGGTTTTATTTCGTCCCAAATTTCAGCAATATTTTGTCATTGGAAAAACTACATTTTACAAAGAGATTTGTTTTATGTGAAAGTAAGAATAAAAGTGATTGATACTTGTTACTGTCAATGTAAGATACAGAAGGTGAACATTTAAAGAAATTACAAGTAGACCTAGGATTTTGTAAATGGTAAAGAATGTGTTAATATCCATAATATACACGAGGTAGTTATCACAGATTCTATACAGTATGTAGAGCATAGAATCTATGTAAACACCAATGTATTCAGACGGAGCGAAGCCTGTAAGGGGTAACTGACCGACAACTCAGTTAGTCACTAAGGTGTTCAGTGGCTTTTGTGCTCTTATTAATTGTCCAAATTCGCAAGAAAGCAAGCAAGCCACCGTGGTATGAAACGGTTACAGGACAAAATCCCAGTGGACAAAATCCCAGCCTCTTATCCCAAAAGTGGACAAAATCCCAACCTCTTATCCCAAAAGTGGACAAAATCCCAGTCTTATAAATAGTCTCATATTTAAAAAAAAAATTTAACATTCAAAATTCGAGTCTCAAATAAAATAAAATAAATAAAATAAAATAAAATTCAGTTTCATAAATAAAAGTCTCATATATATAAAAAGAAACAAACTTTAAAAAAAAATTTAAAGTCAAATTGATACAATAAACAATATTCAATATATAAATTTATTTCATGCTCACAAAATTATGCTCCATTTATGTAAACATAATTATGAATAATCACTTGAAACGAATGCATGCTCCAACACCCTGTAGGAACTCCTCTACACTTTTAGATGAGGATTGGCGATCTGAACACAAGTTGACAAGGCGTTCTTCAAAGGTTTTCTGAGCTCTGCCACACATAAAAATTGTATACGATACCTTAATACAATATAATATAATATATTATTAATATGATAACAGGCGAATGGTCTTTACACCTAATCTTATTAATTAATCTTATATAAGACTGGGTTTTTGTCCACTTTTGGGATTAGAGGCTGGGATTTTGTCCGCTGGGATTTTGTCCACTGGGTTTTTGTCATGGAATCGTATGAAACAGTTTACCCGAGTAGACGATTGCCCAAAGAACGAATAGAAAAAGATGTGTACAATTACAGAGTGGGTTTATATGATATCACAGAGACATTGCAATGTATTAATGGTTGATACATTGCAGTAATGCAATAATGCGTTATAATATCAACAGTCCAATTCATGAAGTTCACCAAGTAGATGAAAATTCTGGGATCAGATCTGACTGTCCAGAATACTCAGTAACCGAAATATTTGTTTATTTACCCTAAGAATGGGAGAGAACAACTTTAAGCGGTGAACATTAATACTAAATATTCATTCATTTATTGTTATATCACAATATCTATTGTGTAATGGCGTACCAGGATGTTTGCGTTCTCGAATTGTTACATGGAAACTTGTACAGACATTCAAACAAGTTGTTAGGGAAATGAATACCAGCCCCCAACCATCTCAACTGAAATGTATTTATATTTTAATTTCTTATTTGGTTTACAATACTTCTAGTTTATGAAAAAATACATTAACTAGCAGTGTTTTAAACCAAATGTAAATACTTGGGAAGGCACAACGCAGCGAGGCAGCGGCAGTATAGTAAAGTGAACAAGACTAGTGACCACTGATCACCAGGTCTCAGTCTGTTGGTTTTCAGTGAAGTGAGCTTTGGCGTTATATATACGTATATTACATGGTATCGTATGGCTGCAACATATGCACGTAGCTTTTCGAATGAGGCTAACGAGCCGATCAGTGGTGAAGAGGGTAAAAGTAAAAGTAAAAAAAATCTAAATTCGACTGAAAGAGGCTTGGGAAACGTGGTGAGTACTGTACAATTATTTTTATTAATGGTAGCCATTATAATATCGTTTCATGTTAGTCATACGATTTCATGCGCTACTTGGTATAGTTTGGGTGAAATATATCTAAGTGTGTGGTTAAAATAAAGGTAATAGTGGAGGAGAACCTGCCTTTAACATGCCCAACATGTTTTTGAGATATCTGTCCGGGTAAAATTTGCCTTGGTAAAGATTCGTAAAACATCCCCTTCATATTTTACGGGAAAATAAAATTTTCTGGTGTATTTTGGTATGCTTTGTTTAAATGACATTAATTTTCTCTGGAAAATCCCCATTTATGAGTAATTGTCAAAGAGACCTACAGATCTAACCAACCAAAGAAACTTGCTTAACCTTACCTAACTTCCTAGCTCCACCCCCCGGACTCCCCAACATATTAAACAGAAAGTATTTGTTTTGATATCTGATACCAATGAAAGCAAGTTTGTTGAAGCGTCATGGTGTAATACGACCCTTTCAAAGACAAGATACAGCACTTTGATGACATGAGAGTGATTGTACCCACTGGACCACCAGAACCTTAAAGGGAGTTTCAGGCTAGTGGATTCTTGTCCAGTGAGTGTGATATACAGTACAAAGGACAAGTGCGGTTACGGTACCTTGTCAAGTTTTCCTTGCTTAGATGTACTTGTTATTTATGCATTCCATAATATATCCTCAACTTATATCTTATATCTTATATCATATCTAATTTTACGTTTTTAGTGGTCGTGAGAGTTGAGCATCGCTGCGTTGTCTATTAAAGGTTCTTAAGTTCCTTTGATTTAGTAAGCTACAGTTTGGGGATCTGTAGATACACCCGACAATAAGTAAGTCTCCTTCCTTTAATTAGCTGCCTTCAGTAGTGTTTCGAACTCCTCTCTCCTATCAAGGGACGTGTCAGTATTAGTGTACATGACATTCAAGCCGGAGTTTGTTCTTGGTAATGTCTCTGCTCTTGGTAGTAACTCCGGCCCCCTTCCTTTCTCAGAAGCTGCAGCATTTGCTAAGTACACTGTACTTTGCAAGGTGTGGTTAGAAATGTCATTAATTTTTAAAATGATAGTGGTGGTAATAATAATAATAATAATAATTATTATTATTATTATTATTATTATTATTATTATTATTATTATTATTATTATTATTATTATTATTATTATTATTATTATATTTTCGCCCCCAGGCTTTGATGTGGGTCAGTAACCTGTGTGGTTATCTATGCTAGGCAAGACCTTAGAGCCAGCCAGGCGAGGGTACAGGGAGAGGATGTTTTTGAAGAGTCCAAGTGATGTAAAATTAAATTAAGGGGAGGGGACTTACTTATCGTCGGGTGTATCTACAGATCCCCAAACTGTGGCCCACTAAATCAAAGGAACTTAAGAACCTTAATAAATAACGCGGCAATGCTCAACCCTAGCCACCTCCTTATCATGGGGGACTTTAACTATGGCGACATCGGCTGGAGAAACGAGTCCACCCCAAATGACTTGAATAATCCTTCTACTCTTTTTGTAGAAACTCTGAGAAATAATTTTCTGTTCCAACATGTTAGAGACCCGACACATTACAGAGGGGAGCAAACACCCAAGCCACTTGACCTCATCATAACGAACGAGGAGGGTATGGTGGCCAAACTGGAACACCTTGCCCCAGTTGGCACCAGTCACCATACAGTGTTGTCATTCAGATTTAACTATTACCTAGTTCAGGATAAGGCCAGGCCAAGGTGCAAATATTACAAGGGAAATTAGAATGGGATGAGGGAAGAGATGAGTGGTATCAACTGGCCTGACTCATTAAGGTACAAGAAAACAGACACTACGCTGAATATCATAACTTGTAAAGTGACCCATTTGATCGATAAATATATACCCAAGACCAAACCCAGTGCTTCTAGGAATACGAGGGGATCCCTACACATAAACCATGCGGCGGTCGACAAAATTAAGAAGAAAACCCAGAAATTCACGACTTGGGTTGGGTCAAACAATGAGCAAGACAGGAGGATGTATGTAAGAGCCAGAAACCAAGCAAAGATAGAGTATAGAAAGGCTGAAAAGGAGTTCCAGAGGCTGGTTGCAAGCGAGGTCAAGTCAAACCCAAAGGCGTTTTACCGCTATGCAAAGTCGAAATTGAAAACGCGAGTAGGAGTATCAGACCTGAGGCTTGTGGATGGTAGTTACGCAGATTCTGACCAGGTTAAAGCTGAGGCATTGAACAGCTTCTTTTCCTCGGTGCTCACAAGAGAGGATGCAACTAACCTTCCTGCGTTTGAGGACAAACGGTTCGACACAGCACTGACCCACATTGTGTTCACAGAAGAGGGTATTAGAAATAAACTGTACAAGCTAAAAGTACATAAGAGTCCCGGCCCTGACATGGTGCATCCTAGAGTGCTAAGAGAGTTATGCAACGAGCTTGCCGAGCCCCTGAAGATCCTGTTTTGTAAATGCCTGGATGAACAAATGGTCCCCAGTGAATGGAAAGTGGCTTATGTGAGTCCTATCTTCAAGAAGGGCGATCGTCACTCCACGAACAACTATAGACCAGTGAGCCTGACCAGCATAATATGTAAAGTACTTGAGAGTATTTTCAGAGATGCCGCAATGGAACATCTAATAGGAAAAACCCTATAAAAGATTGCCAACACGGTTTTATGCCGGGGCGCTCCTGCTTAACACAATTGCTCAAGGTATTGGATATTTGGACCCATATTCTGGAACGGGGTGGTAATATCGACAGTATTTACCTAGATTTTGCCAAGGCTTTCGACAGTGTACCCCATGAAAGGCTGAAAATCAAACTGGAAGGGTACGGAATTCGGGGAAATGTCCTAGCATGGATAGAAAACTTTCCACATGACCGCAAGCAGTGTGTGGTGATTAATGGCACGAAATCGTCAGCCGTACCTGTCACAAGTGGGGTACCACAGGGCAGTGTATTGGGCCCGCTGTTGTTTGTTTGTTTCATAAATGACATGTCTGACGTTGTACACTCCTCCATAAAAATGTTTGGCGATGACGCTAAGTTATTTCGGGAAATTAAGAACCAAGCAGACTGTGAAGAGTTGCAGAAGGACCTCTGTGGGCTCCAGGAATGGTCGAAGA